CAGGGTGAAAGAAACTTTGCCCATTTGTTTCTGCCTCGTGCGGGAATCGAACCCGCGCCACAGAATTACGAGTCCTGCGCGCTATCCACCAGGCTACGAGGCCCCTCATGTGTGTATGTGTGTGTGTGTGTGTGTGTGTGTGTATGTGTGTGTGTGTGTGTGTGTGTGTGTACTCACCTAGTTGTACTCACCTAGTTGTGCTTGCGGGGGTTGAGCTCTGGCTCTTTGGTCCCGCCTCTCAACCGTCAATCAACAGGTGTACAGGTTCCTGAGCCTATTGGGCTCTATCATATCTACACTTGAAACTGTGTATGGAGTCAGCCTCCACCACATTGCTTCCTAATGCATTCCATTTGTCAACCACTCTGACACTAAAAAAGTTCTTTCTAATATCTCTGTGGCTCATTTGGGCACTCAGTTTCCACCTGTGTCCCCTAGTGCGTGTGCCCCTTGTGTTAAATAGCCTGTCTTTATCAACCCTGTCGATTCCCTTGAGAATCTTGAATGTGGTGATCATGTCCCCCTAACTCTTCTGTCTTCCAACGAAGTGAGGTTCAATTCCCGTAGTCTCTCCTCGTAGCTCATACCTCTCAGCTCGGGTACTAGTCTGGTGGCAAACCTTTGAACCTTTTCCAGTTTAGTCTTATGCTTGACTAGATATGGACTCCATGCTGGAGCCGCATACTCCAGGATTGGTCTGACATATGTGGTATATAATGTTCTGAAAGATTCCTTACACAAGTTTCTAAAGGCCGTTCTTATGTTAGCCAACCTGGCATATGCTGCTGATGTTATCCTCTTGATATGAACTTCAGGGGACAGGTCTGGCGTGATATCAACCCCCAGGTCTTCTCTCTCTCTCTGACTCTTGAAGTATTTCATCTCCCAAGTGATACCTTGTATCTGGTCTCCTGCTTCCTACCCCTATCTTCCTTACATTACATTTGCTTGGGTTAAACTCTAACATCCATTTGTTCGACCGTTCCTGCAGCTTGTCCAGGTCTTCTTGAAGCCTCAAGCTGTCCTCCTCTGTCTTAATCCTTCTCATAATTTTGGCGTCGTCAGCAAACATTGAGAGGAATGAGTCTATACCCTCTGGGAGATCATTTGCGTATATCAGAATAGGTCCAAACACAGGATAGGTCCAAACACAGTGCCCTGTGGGACTCCCTGTGTGTGTGTGTGTGTGTGTGTGTGTGTGTGTGTGTGTGTGTGTGTGTGTGTGTGTGTGTGTGTGTGTGTGTGTGTGTGTGTGTGTGTGTACTATACGAGCGTATTTGAGTGTGTTACGTGCGAGTGTGTACATTTGTACCCAGGATATCACGATTTTTAGTCAATAACGAAGTCAATTGAACACCTGTAGGGAATCCTAGGTACCTAGTAGTGTTACTATAGGCTGTACCAGTGATCACCAACCTGTCATAGGATGATGATGTGATTCTCTCTACGTATGCTTCAAGTAATAGATATGACATATATCTACTTATAGACTGCATTCTTTCAATGGCACTGAAAGGTTTCTCCCTCTTCCGCTGGTATTGTTCCTCAAGTCTATTTCATCCTGATAACCTTGCATGTACTGGGTTTAAAATACAATAGCCACTTACGCAGTTTAAGTCCTTAGGACTCACAGCGATAAAGGGCCATCCAGCTTCTCTGTGTATGTGCATGGACAGAATATTTGAGGATAGATAGGGCTTAGAATTCCCCTGCTGGTAGGTCGGTTATCTATTACGGTGACCTAAATATCTCTCCCAAGGATGATAGGTCTTAAGCCCAACCGCACACCGTGGTCTGACATGATCCGTTACTTCTATCTTGTCTAGTGACACTCTACTGGAACTAGCAGTACAGGTCTGAGCACTGCACAATATAATTAAGGCACAGTCTTGTAAGCTTATAAGAATAAGATTGTAGTAAGGAAATATGCAATTTATTTATTTAATATATTTATAGTGTATGCTGAAATAATTATTTTCAGCATACAATAATTTTTATTTATTAATGTATTTAGCATACATTATTTTTATTACAATAAGGTGTTTAATTTATGTTTCTATATTTAGAGTTGGATTAGTTTGTACAAATTTATAATAAATTATTTACCTTAGAGAAAGTCATAATAATACCATGACATGTAATATTAGTAATTATATACTGTATACTTATTCAGAATTGTATGTCAGATTCTGAACCAGAAACTTCGTTCTCAACCACTTACACAAATCATTACAATAAAGGTTGATTTAAACAGGCGTACAACAATTTAAATCAAGGTTTGCTAACTAGGTTTGAGAGATACAAGAGTTGTTACATTCCTGTACTAGAATGTTCTAGTTCTAGTTCTAGTTTTAGTTCTAGTTCTAGTTCTAGTTTTAGTTCTAGTTCTAGTTTTAGTTCTAGTTCTAGTTCTAGCATACTATGAGTTTAACACAAGAATATCCTCAAGAACACGAGAGAGCGTAAAGTAATTGTGAAATGCCAGGCTCTTCATTCATTTCAAAGGGTCTAAGACTGGGTGGGTGTAATTGGGTTCCAGGTTCCAGTGTTTTCATACCTGGAGGGCTTAAGATAGGGAGCTTCGTCACCTGCAGCCACCTGCTACAGGTGCTGCTCATGTAGGTCTCTGAGCTAACGAAGGGAAGCACGTAGGGCGAACGAGTTAACTATCGGGGAAAGCGCCAAGCCTTTACGACTATATAGTACTTGGAATGGATCAGGATAAGGATTTGGGATGGGACGAGGGGAAGGAATGGTGCCCCAATCACTTGGACGGTCGAGGATTGAACGCGGACCTGCATGACGCGAGACCGTCGCTTTACCGTCCATCCCAAGTGGTTGGGCTAACGAAATTAAGATTTTTTGTTCAATTTTCCTGAGGGCCAACATCTCTAGTTGACCTCGACGGGGACATGAAGCCGGTGATTTGTTAAAGGTTTCCCTATTATTTCCTCAGAGGGTTTCCACCTGAATTTTGAAATATTGTCTTAACATTTACGGTTTCTTCAGCTAGTTGATTCAATGGGTTCATTACCCTACGAGTGAAAAGCATCTCCTGTTTCTGTCCTCCATTTGTGACTTGTTGAGCTGAAAAAATGTTCCTCTACGTGCATCTTGTTGGAGCTTTCAGAGACGTGGTCTGCATTGTCTGTTGCTTGAAGCAACTTAATAAAATCAACCTAAACATTTATAATAATACTAGTAATAGAAACATTAACAATAATGAAGGAAGAATACCTCCTTAGTAACCAATAGTTGTGGCGATACACAGACAACAAGTCATCCCTAAATATAAGATCAAAGAAAATGTGTTCTCGGGAGAATTAATAGAAAATGTTAAAAGGTAGACTATTAAAATAATAATATCCATTATTACTTACCTGAATTTACCCTAGCACCCGTATTTCTAGTGGCGAAATGCTTTAGGAAACCTAAATTGCCTGTAGAGGTAGCATATACAACATCAGATAGGCAACGTAGACATTGATAGTAAAAGTTAGGGAAAGTTGCTGGTCCTATATATAGACACCAGACTTCACTGCACATAGCACCCCAAAAAGGTGGTGGTAGGAGAACAGCACACAGAAACTGTATTGGAGGGGACCTAAACATTCCCTCTAATGCGTTATGTGTGGTTTCCTCCGAGGCTAAGGGTCCCCTTCTTCTAGCTTGAAGTGGTATTCCCTTCCACTTAAAAAAAACTAATAGTATATTCTAAAAAAATCAGATATTATTACGCAAATTTATTTTCCCATTGATATTTCAAGTAATACCTGAACTGGCTTTACAAGGACCTCATCAGTTAATAAAATAAATTGCGTAACTTTTTATATTTTTAATAAATAACAAATAATGTTAACAAATTATTTATACACAAGCTCATTAACAGGTGATTCTCAATAAAAGGCAACAATCGCAAAACAAATAAAAATAATTACATTATACAGTAATATTTATAAAATTATATAAATAAGAATAGTACCCACGAAGAGTCCACGTTCACAGGTGAGTGTCAGTGACTGAGGACGGACCCTTACTGGAGGCTGTGTAGTCACTGTTAACACAACAATGGTCACTTACTAGAGCCGTACCTCTCATCTGTACTAGTACTAGTACTCCCTAGTACTGTACCTTTAGTGAATACAGACTTAGCGATCAGACCGCTTAGTCTGTATTCGCTAAATAGCTTACAAGCTCCGAGCGGAAAGAGGTCATCCTCAACCTAAATTAATTATTGTTATGGAGGACTTTCGTAGCGCTTCCGAGCTCGTAAACTGTTCTTTAAATACCTGCTGAGCCGTCAAAATCGAGGTAAGAGGTAAAGATCTCGTAAGTCCTTAGTGAATCCTGGTTCTGACGAGGAAACACAGGAGCCACCACAGCCGGCGAGGCCCTGTGCCACCAGCACTGGCCCGTCCTGGCTTGCCACAGGATCCGTCTTACAAGCCAAATGTGAATGCTATTGGCAGCAAGATGCTACTTCTGGAAACTTTTCTTATTAAGACTACTCAATAGTTTGATCGGTTGAGCTTCGGCCTCACACACGTGGGGTCCACGGTTCGAGTCTTCTAGAGCCCCAGGTTTATTTCCACGAAAGTCTGGATGACAATTTTATGTGACTGCTATATTTCATGAGTAATTTCTGGCAACAATGTCGTCATGGGACGGACTGAGAGAACATACAGCACCTAGATGCACCATGGCCCGTTTATCGACCATATGTGGGATAGGCTCAGCTGATACATGCGATCAGATTCATTGATGGAACCCATTTTATTCAGTTAACATTTGACATGACATTGAGCGGATCGATGCTAACGAATATCATCGTAGGTAAACATAGCTGCAAACCACTAAGGTTATGAAGGTCGAGAGTCATCGCTAGCGTCATTGGATCGTGACTATTTATGAAAGTCTTTGGTGGGAGGTATATCAGAGTCATATCTGTCAGTCGGAGTCATAAGCCTTCTGTTTCAGGCCGCTTCACAGCACTCGGCCATTTACTCGTATTTCTTATAAGCCTCGCGTAGAGCTGCCAGTACTGGGGTCAGGACGTCCAGGGATCTGTCAAATGAGAAATCAAGAGGTAACGTAACAAAATAACGCAGAGTACGGCCGGGTTCGTTCTCTATTCACACGCGGGAATTCCGGGTTCGAATTCCGGACGGGACAGAAATAGTTGGGCATGTTTACTATCACCCAATGCCTCTGTTTACCTAGCAGTAAATTGGTACTCAGGAAATTATCGATCGATCAAGAGAGAGAGAGAGAGAGAGAGAGAGGGGGGGGGGGGGGGTGAGGCTACCTGTTCACGACAAAATTAATTTGTATTATTATATTGGATAAAAGGAAGTGAGAGATAACTGAGCATAACTGAAGATAAGCAGACTAATATATTTATTCACAGGTGTTATGTTCAACGTTACTCAACTGCCCAGTTTAACTTTGCTGCGTAATCTTGCTATTGTAGCTATTGGACTGGCGTAGCGACCCACCTCTTGGCGTAGCTGGTGTAGGAAGAGTACTCCGGCTGTTCGTTGTAGTAGTTAAAGTGGTCATAACCATCCCGTGTTGCGAAGTGCTTAGCGATGTCGAAGCCCAGGATGGGGATGATGACGAGTGCGAAGACGAGGACGATGATTCCGGCGATGACTGCGTACTGCAGGGAGGTGGAGTTGAGGGTGAGCACGGCGCCTGTGTTATCCAAGGAGATGAACCCGAAGCGGGGCGTCTCCTTTGGGTCCTCGTCCCCCGTGGCGCTGGCCAGGGCGGCGAGGCACACCACGGCGAGCACGACGAAGCTCTTCATACTGGCTGAGGGGAAGAAGTAAGGGCGTTACTCAGGTGGTGGGAGGTTCTTCTCTTGGGGGAAGAGAAGAACAGCCCAAGTGCTACCCAGCCACTTGGGCTGGACGGTAGAGCGACGGTCTCGCTTCATGCAGGTCGGCGTTCAATCCCAGACCGTCCAAGTGGTTGGGCATCATTCCTTCCCCCCGTCCCATCCCAAATCCTTATCCTGACCCCTTCCAAGTGCTATATAGTCGTAATGACTTGGCGCTTTCCCCCTGATTTTGATTATGATTCTCTTTGGGGTTATCTTGAAATTATTTCAGGGCTTAGCGTTCCCGCGGCCCGGTCCTCGACCAAGCCTCCTTTTTGTTACACATCCCCAGGAAACATCCCGTAGCAGCTGTGTAACTCCCAGGTACCTATTTACTGCTAGATGAACAGGCCATCAGGGTGAAAGAAACTCTGCTCATTTGTTTCCGCCTCAACGGGGATCGAACCCGGAACCCTAGGACTGCGAATCCCGAGCGCTGTTCAATCAGCCGTCAGGCCTCTGTCAGGCCCTAGGCCAGGGGGTTAGTGACAAGAGGTTCACGGAAAGTAAAGTATCGAACACTGACTTAAATAAAGTACATATATCCGTTCAGTCCGTCCTCCTAAGATTTCTCAACGTCAAGAAACTGTCGAACTGAAGTGCCCTTATCCTAACCTACCTGAGGATCCAAAACAGAAAACGGGACAGTATGTCAATTTCGCGAGCCGCTACCTTTTTCTAACACGAAAATTTTTAGTTTTAGGTAAATTATACGTCAAAATATGACGTTCTATAAGGAGGACGGGTTGATCCGTTAACATTAGTTACTGCTAATTAGCAGACATAAACGTTTTCATACAATATTATAATTGCTTGTAATAACGCACAAACATTTTTATTTTTTATTTTACAATAATCAGAATGTATGGATAAGTTAACTTATAATATTCAATCACTTTTTTGGAACACCTTGTAAAAGTGTGTTGTAATGCGCTCATGAGTTTCGGTAATTATTTGTTAGGAAAATATCTCACAACAGCTCACACGGGGCGTGTATGTTGTTATGTGTGCGTATATATGCTGTTATGTGTGCGTGTGTATGTTGTTATGTGTGCGTATATATGCTGTTATGTGTGCGTGTCTATGATGTTATGTGTGCGTGTCTATGATGTTATGTGTTCGTGTGTATGCAGTTATGTGTGTGTGAGAATTTCTCTTTGGTAATTGGAGCTTTGATGCCGTTCCGTTTGTAGTACACCGTTACCCCTTAATCTCGTTATTGTCTTCGTTACGGAACAACGTAACCCTCATTCTCGCTATTGTCTTCGTTACGGAACGCCGTAAACCCCTACTCTTACTGCTGTCTCCGTCGCAAGTTACCTTACAGTATGAAATGAAGTTCTTGTATATAAACATATATATCACAGCCACGACACTCCAGAGAGAGTCGTCACTCCCACAGCCACCAAAAGTACACTCTCAGACGCTGCGATTCAGCCCGCCTCCACCAGTACACAGTTGAACACTGTTGCATCCACCATCATCCCCTCTTATGGAGACGTCCTCCACCCTCAGCTCCCACTGAGAAAGAAGGAATCTGGGTCACCCACTGACACACTGGTTGTTACCAAGTACGTTTATTGAGACCGTAAAGTACATCTTGAAAGGATATAGTAGCTTAGGCTATTTCTACCTTCTTTCTGATTGTTACAAGCAATGTTACAAAGCAAAAGCTCGAGTCTTTCTGTAGAGGATCTGTAGTGCCATGCACTATGCCTCATAGATGATTCTATGTAACAAAGGTTAATAAAGCATGCTGAATTTACCACGACGTGTGCCTTATTGTTTTAGGTCTGGAAAGCTTCACTAAGGACATAGTCTATGTCCTGACTATGTTGAGATTTCCCCATTTGTGTCTATGTCACATAAACACAAATGGGGGATCTCTTTTCGTTGCTGGGCGTCAGTCAGACCTGCCTATTCCAGCTGTCAACCAGCACCAGCTGTATGGGCTGTATCCAAGCTGTCGGTCATTCCTCCCCATACCATCTGTCAGCCATCCCCACCTATACCAGCTCTCAGCTAGCACTCTCCAAACCAATTGTCAGCTACCCGTGTCAATGCCAGCTGTCAGCCATCCCTGCCAATCCCAGATGCCAAGGTATAACTGAACAGTGAATACGTTGAACGCAGGTAAAGCTTACCCATCAGTGTCTACAGATCTTCAGTGTCTTCAGTGTAAAGCTTACCCATCAGATCTGCCTCTTTGGGTTCCATCTATTGGCGCCTGGCGGCATTAATAAAATATCTTAACTTTCAATGCTTATGATACTGTGGAGGGAGACGAATTCCACAGCTCCTTCAAGTGTATTCCTCCCCCCCTTGTTCACCACCCTCTTGTCATCCTCTCTACGTCTCTGTGAATTGTTTGTAGCCTCCTTCTAGCAGCAAACATCCGTCTTACTGAGGTTGCCACGTGTGCTCTAAGTGTATTCTTCAGCTTGAGTGTGTTGTCAGTATATTTAAATATTTACCAGCACGTCTTATTGTCACTGATCCTATTGCGAACCCTCAGTTTCGTTCAAAGGATTATGTAAATATTGCTGCTTTAAGCACCACATTTAGTGTGCATTAAAATCAGAATGTTTACAAGAATATATATCAATAGTATTTGGCAAAGGTAATGTACTTTGGTAGGAAAGTAAAGGGTTTCTAAGTCTAGGAAAAAGACGTTAAATAATGCCAAAGAGACGCGGATACAACTTCTGAATTTACAAGCATCTTTTTCTGCACCCTTAAGATCTCCTTCCTCTCTCGCCCTACTTGTCTACCTACATCCCTTTCTCCCTCCCTCCCCTCCCTCCCTCCATCCATCTCTCCATAACTCCTTCCATCTTTACCTACCTCAACTCTCTGTCATTTCTGGCGTTCCGCTCGCGAAGAGCCGCCGGCACGTGCAACACTGACTCATTACTGTAGTGTTGCCACCCTGCAACACTGACTCATTACTGTAGTGTTGCCACCCTGCAACACTGACTCATTACTGTAGTGTTGCCACCCTGCAACACTGACTCATTACTGTAGTGTTGCCACCCTGCAACACTGACTCATTACTGTAGTGTTGCCACCCTGCAACACTGACTCATTACTGTAGTGTTGCCACCCTGCAACACTGACTCATTACTGCACAGTGTTGCCACCCTGCAACACTGACTCATTACTGCACAGTGTTGCCACCCTGCAACACTGACTCATTACTGCACAGTGTTGCCACCCTGCAACACTGACTCATTATCTTGAGATATCTTGAGATGATTTCGGGGCTTTTGTGTCCCCGCGGCCCGGTCCTCGACCAGGCCTCCACCCCCAGGAAGCGGCCCGTGACAGCTGACTAACACCCAGGTACCTATTTTACTGCTAGGTAACAGGGGCATAGGGTGAAAGAAACTCTGCCCATTGTTTCTCGCCGGCGCCTGGGATCGAACCCAGGACCACAGGATCACAAGTCCAGCGTGCTGTCCGCTCGGCCGACCGGCTCCCCTACTACTCCCCATTACTGCACAGTGTTGTCATCATACAACACTGACACAGCAGAGTAACTCAGTGTTGCGGTAAAATGCTCTCATAATAATACCTCGACGTCGATGCCTGTTTTTAAAAATGCTCAGCCAATATCTACTAATCAAATCCCTTATACCAGAGAGAGAGACATAGGATTTGTGTGCTTTAATTATATGCTGATTAAATACGCGATTGCTTTTAACGACACCTGAGTTAACATTATAGAAAAAACATTTACTTATTTCTCGTGACATGTGTTATATGAATCTAGTTTTATAGTATTTATATATGAATCTTACATATAACTCGTGGGCTGTTATATGAGTCTAGTTTTATGATTTCTGAATTTAGCACAGGGCTTCGTAAACACATAAAAGATGTTTCATTATCTTGAGTATTTTGATACTTCGTATTCGTATTGTACGATCACACATGTGTTCATCTAGATCTGTGAACATAGCACATAAGTCAACCATAGTGAACGGTAAACCTTTAACACAGCAGAACCACACCGTCCGAGCATGTCTCCTTCACATGATCACTTCGCCAAAAATTACACATATTGCTGATTCTTAAAGTTTCCCCTTCAAAGAATTTCTATATCATAGTAAGTCACTCGATCCTACCTCTTGAAGCGTGTGAAGGGTGCTGCTGGAGGAGGAGGAGCTGGCAAGACGGTCCTTGAGTGTGTGGTGCGGGCTAGAGGGCTCCCTGCGGCATATATATACACACAGGGTGCCGGGGACAAGGTCAGCGAGTGGATCATAACAGTCGCAAGTGTTATGCACACATTGAGTGCCATACTGCAGCTTTCACTTGCTCACAGGGCGGCTATGTTGCACTCTAAACTCTAGTGCTGTACTTGTTTAATCTCTGAGAATCAGTAAATTTAGACATATAAGGCAATCATTTATTATTTTAATTTAAAGCAATAAAATACATAGGATAAATTTGGAAAGATTCCCGCCCCCTTTCTTGCCATAACGAGGCGTCAGCCAATCACCGCGCGACGTTGCGGGACAATGCCAAGATGGCGGCCATCAGCCAGAGAGGGAAATTCTTTTCTATTGGGACTAGTTGAGGGACAGCTTGTTCCTCAACCTGACAAACGGAACTCGATTTTATACAAAAAAGTGTTCTTACTTTAGATAAGATTTCAAAATCTTTATTTTTATTAACATTCACGAGGCAATTACGCAAGCACTTACGAACCTGTATATCTTTTCTCAAACTTTGGCGGCTTTGTTTACAATTATTAAACAGTTAATGAACTCCGAAGCACCGGGAGGCCGTTTATAACAATAATAACAGTCGATTGGGAAGTTTTCATGCTTGTAAACTGTTTAATAAATGTAACCAAAGCCGTCAAAGTTTGAGGAAAGATGTACACGTTCGTAAGTACTTGCGTAAGTACTTCGTGAATCTGGTCCCAATATCAGTTAAGTGGAAACTATATCCGGGTCACGCAAGGTCCACATAGGCGGCGGACTCTGTATAGAGATCATTACTAGTGGAAATAATTAGTCAACAACTCTGTATACCTGTTGACTAACACTTGGGAAAGCGGGCTACCCCTTTGTCGCTAGCCAAATTATTCCTTGTAATTATTTGCAATTGTGATGAGAATTGACATTTACGAATCATAACAACCACAGAATGTTAATTTACCTGGATGTTTGAGGTGAAAGTTAGTGCTTTTTAATCTTTATAATTTAATTGTACATTGATAATTTGTTTAATGGAAATATCTTTGACCTTTAAATATAGAAAGAAGGAAATTGAATTGAATCAAAAGGAATATTGCTATTTTAAATTGTTGTGTATGTGTGATGGTGAAGGGGCAAGTATAGTGTGTATATTATTTACTATACAGCTATTAAAATTAGAACAGATTTTAAGACGTCAGCTGTTTGGTTTACCTAATGGTTTCCCGGAGTCGTTAGTTGTGTGGTTTACCTAATGGTTTCTCAGAGTCGTTAGTTGTTTGGTTTACCTAATGGTTTCCCAGAGTCGTTAGTTGTTTGGTTTACCTAATGGTTTCTCAGAGTCGTTAGTTGTGTGGTTTACCTAATGGTTTCCCAGAGTCGTTAGTTGTGTGGTTTACCTAATGGTTTCCCAGAGTCGTTAGTTGTGTGGTTTACCTAATGGTTTCCCAGAGTCGTTAGTTGTGTGGTTTACCTAATGGTTTCCCAGAGTCGTTAGTTGTGTGGTTTACCTAATGGTTTCCCAGAGTCGTTAGTTGTGTGGTTTACCTAATGGTTTCCCAGAGTCGTTAGTTGTGTGGTTTACCTAATGGTTTCTCAGAGTCGTTAGTTGTGTGGTTTACCTAATGGTTTCTCAGAGTCGTTAGTTGTGTGGTTTACCTAATGGTTTCCCAGAGTCGTTAGTTGTGTGGTTTACCTAATGGTTTCTCAGAGTCGTTAGTTGTGTGGTTTACCTAATGGTTTCTCAGAGTCGTTAGTTGTGTGGTTTACCTAATGGTTTCCCAGAGTCGTTAGTTGTGTGGTTTACCTAATGGTTTCTCAGAGTCGTTAGTTGTGTGGTTTACCTAATGGTTTCTCAGAGTCGTTAGTTGTTTGGTTTACCTAATGGTTTCCCAGAGTCGTTAGTTGTGTGGTTTACCTAATGGTTTCCCAGAGTCGTTAGTTGTTTGGTTTACCTAATGGTTTCCCAGGGTCGTTAGTTGTTTGGTTTACCTAATGGTTTTTCTGAGTCGTCAGTTGTGTGGTTTACCTAATGGTTTCTCAGAGTCGTTAGTTGTGTGGTTTACCTAATGGTTTCCCAGAGTCGTTAGTTGTATGGTTTACCTAATGGTTTCCAAGAGACGTCAGCTGTTTGGTTTACTTAATGGTTTCCTAGAGATGGAGACAAGAAACCTGTGAAGCTTAACGAGGTCCCCCAAACCACCTAATGATCGTCCCAAGACACGATATTATTGACCTGTCGGTGGTTACCACTTGGTCACTGAGGCTTAAAAACTTCCCTTAAATATTAATTCCAAACGATCAATAATATAAAACGAGTATAAAAAATTTACATTTCTCAGCTATAATTCTCAACTTTTCTCATGTTTCACCTAGTTGTAGTCACCTAGTTGTACTCACCTAGTGGTGCTTGCGGGGGTTGAGCTCTGGCTCTTTGGTCCTGCCTCTCAGCTGTCAATCAACTGGTGTATGTGTTGCAGTCTCTGCTGTGGTCAATACTTCGTATGGTTTGTTTGTGCCTCCGTACTGCATTTCGTCTCGAGATGTGACTATCGTCTGAGATGTATATATATATATATATATATATATATATATATATATATATATATATATATATATATATATATATATATATATATATATATATATTATATGCACACATCCCAATTGCCCATTTTTTAAGGTGGATCTAATTGTATAATTTACCTCGCTTATTATCTATATATCTGCTTTGTTCTTGTCACGGGTTGTTGGTCAAGAAGAGCGAGGGAGGACCCCGTCACACCTGCAGCAGCCTCAGGAACTACTCCAAGGAAAGTTGCTGTCTTGAACCCATCTTTTGGCAGCTATCTGATGCTCGTTGTGTTCCCGGTATTGCGCCAGACTTGATGACATGAGAGGAAGGTCAACACTCCGTCACTAGACATGATAACGCAGGGGTCATCATGTCTGGTGGCATCATAGTTCATCCCACCGTCATTGGAGATGTTATGACGCAATTGTAAGGTCAGTACATCACTAGAAACAAGGTGCCAGATTCACGAAGCAGCTACGCAAGCACTTACGAGCCTGTCCATCTTTTCTCAATCTTTGCCGACTTTGTTTACAATTATTAAACATTTAATGAGCTCCGAAGCACCAGGAGGCTGTTTATAACAATAACAACAGTTGATTGGCAAGTTTTCATGCTTGTAAACTGTTTATTAATAAATGTAACCAAAGGCATCAAAGGTTGAAGAAAGATGTACACGTTCGTAAGTACTTGCTAACTGCTTCATGAATCTGACCCCCAGATAACGGAGGGGGTAAGGTGAGCTGCGAGATATCCTGTACATTACTAATGACACATTCTTAAGCTACGTCAATCTCCTGAAGCCTACTAACCTACAGGATGATGCCAATTAGTCTACATTGAGCTGTGCTGCAGGAAGGGAGTAGCCGGCTGCTGGGGATACTGAGTGTCGGGCTGATCCATGTCTGGAGTGAGGAATTCTCACTCCTTCGCCAGAGTAACGTCGCGTTAGTTTCCATTTAAGATTATATGATTCGAACTCGAGTCATCGTATGCGCTAATTCTGTCAAGACCTGAAGAGAACACCAAGTGGGCTCTGGTTTGGTGTTGTAACTATCGTCGTGTTGTGATTTTCGTCTTGAATTGTGGCTACCGTCGGATGTTGTAAGTATCGTCTTAATGCATATCAACCTCTAAAGGGTTACTAACTCAACCACACGTAGGTACTGACCAACCAGCAAGAATAAGCATAGTTCTGGTCATTGTCCAGTAACATCTCAGTGTATATACGCCACATAGACACCTCTTAGTGTGTATAGCCCGTCAGGAGGTGCGTTCACTAGCTGCTAATATAATCTTGAGTCCCACTGATGCTCCCGAAATTTCCCATAGTTAGTGCGGATTGTAGGGAAAAGTGAGACATCTGTTACATTTAAATACGGTCCAGCAAATATGTTCAACAAGGGATTCCGTTGCAAATGGGTACTGCCATTATCTTCTCGTTCTGCAGTTTGGAAAGGCTGTAAGTTTTGTTGTCTACAAATATTACAAGTATCTTACATTTTGGGATCCACAGGTTTATCACGACAACATTTTAGTTCACATCTGTTCAAGAGACGTCATGGGGCCACGTGCTGTATGTAAACTAACGGGGTGGTGGAGTCTACAAGGGCGGTATCTATTTTAAGTCTACAATGTCAGTTGTGTGTGGTGGATAGTATTGGTGGTTCAGGTATCCATTATGACAGTTTCCTTACATGGAGCATAATAAGTACCGAGCTCATTAATGTATCTTATAAAACTAATAGATATATTGATCTTGTTTGCACACAATATTCATTTTGATTCTAATACAGATTTGGTGTATACATACAATACCGTTGTACAAATATTGAGAATACATGCAAAATAATTTATATAGCTGGAAATATTTCCTCTATTTCCAACTCACTTGTAGCATCAAACTAAACCTAATTTTAATCTAAACTAACCTAACCTAACTTAACTAACTCTAACTCTGCCTGATTGGTCCAGAAAAGCATTGTTAACCAGAAGTTCCTTCTGTACTCCAAAATGCTCACGTTTCTTGCTATAAAAGTGAGACATGCATTTTAAGATATTGTGAAATATTTTTATAGAGTTATTGATTAAATATATGGAAATTTAACAATTGGAATAATATTGAATAACATTGAAAATTAAGAGTTTAAATAGCGGAGGAAATGCTAAAGAAAACATAGAGTATTTAATGTTTTTTATTTGAATTTTTTAAGTTCTAATGAAATAGAAAAAGTGACGGTGGATTCATTTTCCAGCAGCTTCTGTGTATCAGTCTGTGTTCTGGTGTGTTGTTATCTATATATATAAAATAGATTGTCTCTTCGAGGTTGGACTGCAGATGCTTAGGGCTAGTCTCATTAAGCTTAGCAGGGTTAGTGGTGGTTTTATCAGGAGTGTCGCTGGCGGTTGTGTCGATTTGCCTCCAAAGTCTCTCCTTCTCGAAGTCTGTGGATGTGTAATGTTCAGCCCAGAGTCCATTGACTTTATTTGTTTAAATAATATTGAATTCTACAACCCATTCTCCTGTTCAGATGGTATTATTTTGTAAAGAATGTGGACCATCGTAGATATATTGACGTAATGGACAATTAGATAGAATTTGGTGCTATTCACTTTATAGAGTCAGGAAAAAAAGCTAAAAATCTAAGTTACATATTCCTAGGAATAATATAGGACATATATGTACTATATTAGGCCTCAGAGAGCGCGCATTTAGCCATAAGATGTTGACCAGACCACACACTAGAAAGTGAAGAGACGATGACGTTTCGGTCCGTCCTGGACCATAATCAAGTCGACTTGAGAATGGTCCAGGACGGACCGAAGCGTCGTCGTCTCTTCACTTTCTAGTGTGTGGTTTGATCAACATTTTTTCAACCACGTTATTGTGACTCCTCGTCAGCCCTAAGATGGTTAAGTTAGGTTATATTAGCAACAAAAATACCAAACCCTTTTCTCTGTTTGTTCTAATTCAACAGTACCAAATTCGGTTTTCTAACTGGCCATAACGTCAAAATATACACATGTACGATGGTCACATTGTATCTATAAGAACTATCTAAAGAGGAGGAAGGGCTGTAATGCTGATATTGACTTTCAAAACACATGTTCTGATGCTAGATTTGCAATCTGGATGCAACTTTTTGGTTGCATGGGGAAAGGGAGTGAGAGGTTCGGTAACTCTTGCACTTTCAGTGGGACGGTAATTCTAGCACTTGGAGCGATATAACTGAGGCAGTCTGGTAGTTCTTAACATATGGCATCTCTCATGGTGGCAGGGGAAAGTATACACAAATAGTCAGACCACATACAAGAGGATATGTGGAGGAGGAGCCGGGATATGAGGACGAGGAGCTGGGATATGAGGACGAGGAGCTGGGATATGAGGACGAGGAGCTGGGATATGTGGAAGAGGAGCTGGGATATGAGGACGAGGAACTGGGATATGAGGACGAGGAGCTGGGATATGAGGACGAGGAGCTGGGATATGTGGAAGAGGAGCTGGGATATGAGGACGAGGAGCTGGGATATGAGGACGAAGAGATGGGATATGAGGACGAGGAGCTGGGATATGAGGACGAGGAGCTGGGATATGAGGACGAGGAACTGGGATATGAGGACGAGGAGCTGGGATATGAGGACGAGGAGCTGGGATATGAGGACGAAGAGATGGGATATGAGGACGAGGAGCTGGGATATGAGGACGAGGAGCTGGGATATGAGGACGAGGAACTGGGATATGAGGACGAGGAGCTGGGATATGAGGACGAGGAGCTGGGATATGTGGAAGAGGAGCTGGGATATGAGGACGAGGAACTGGGATATGAGGACAAGGAGCTGGGATATGAGGACGAGGAGCTGGGATATGAGGACGAAGAGATGGGATATGAGGACGAGGAGCTGGGATATGAGGACGAGGAGCTGGGATATGAGGACGAGGAACTGGGATATGAGGACGAGGAGCTGGGATATGAGGACGAGGAGCTGGGATATGAGGACGAGGAACTGGGATATGAGGACGAGGAGCTGGGATATGAGGACGAGGAGCTGGGATATGAGGACGAGGAACTGGGATATGAGGACGAGGAACCGGGATATGAGGACGAGGAGCTGGGATATGAGGACGAGGAGCTGGGGTATGAGGACGAAGAGATGGGACCTGAGAATGTAAGAACTCCTGTATATGTATAATTAAAATAAAATAAAATACATAAAATAAATACTCTGCGCTTGACAGGCAAATAATGTTTTTTTTTTAATATATAGATAAATATAAAACAAAAGGTTAAATGAGTACTGACGTTAAGGAAGCGTAGGCCCGCTGCAAGAGAGCCGGGAGACCGGTCACCTGGCCGTGGACCTGACACATGAGCAGCTGCAGACAGTCCTCTCCAGGCACACATAAATCATGCAAGAAATAAATATATATTCTCTGCGAAAGATTATCGTAAACCTTTCGTGAAATTAGCAATTGTCTTCACCTGGACAGCGGCGAAGGCATTATCGTAATCTAAGAAAGAGAGTGCAGGCGCCAGCACTCTGCCTACCCTGGCCACCACCTCGTCTACCGTCAGAGAGGAGCGAGCGGCTCTGCCACCCAGCACCTGCTGCAGGAAGTCGTTCAGGGGTTCGGTCAGGAACTGTCCTACTGTCCTGGACCCCGTCAGCGTGTCAAGGGCCTTCGAGAGCTCCATATTGCTGCCTAGGGACCTGCCATATAGCGAGAGTGTTACTGGTGAAGGCTCTCGTGGCGTAATATGTAAGCTTTATAGACTATTTAGCTACTTAGTTCATGCCCGAAACGTTATGCGTGTTAGTGGCTTTACAAGGATATAAGAACTCTTGTACATATAAATTAAATAAATAAATGTATTGTGCAGCCTGTACGGGTGTACGTATTCTGTGAGTGATAGTGGAAAAAGTTACAGAGGCACATAATGGGCTGTGGAAATGAATCCTAAAGTTCACCTAGTTAGGCAATTGATATTGAATGTATGCTCGGAATGATCACTCGTTAGCCTAGCCCAGTGGGATATCTACAAAGCTAAGAAGCTTCCTGTCCATGGCAAAAAAAAAAATCACTTAAATTTAATTAAAAAGTTTATCTTAAATTAATAAATTCTCATTTTCTTTATAAGTAAAATTTACAGAAAACGAACAAAGTTCCCATTCTTCTACTGTGACTATTTAAAACGTCAACTATTTACACTAATTAACCTAAACCAACAAAACCAAACCAGATAAATACCTAAGCTGACCCAACCTCGCCCTATTTAATCTAGGATACAATAATAGTATTTATTATCCAAGAAATATACGAAAAAAATTTTACGACAACGGAATCATTCGTGATGCGACCAACGATACATATCAATATATATACTCAGTAAAAATCTTCGCGCTAAACACCAAGACTTAATTTTAAAGTTTGTTATTAGGTATCTAATCAAGTAAATATATTGCCAATGCTAATTTCAATCTCTTAATTATGTATTATTAATAGAAGATAGTGAGGCAGACACAAATGCAACTATGTCAGAGAGAAAAGTGGCAAAACAGCTTCTTCCTGAACAACAGAAGGGCTCCAGGTCACCCCCATCAGAGGCCTCACCAGGCGTGGAGCAGCAGCCCGAGGAAAATGTTGATGTCGAAGAGCAATGAAAAGGGACCGGCTACGACGGCCAGCAGGACAAAGAACGCCAGGAGAGTGACGAGGAAGCCAGCGACGGGGTTCTGGGAGAGGCACCCAGTGCCCAGAAGCGCCAAGTTCACCGGCAGATCGAAGGCTACCGCCATATTGACTTCTTGCGACATCTTATCACCTGTGAGAAAATGAGGAAGAGATATGCTCAACAAGCCGCAATGTAGGACTGAGAACAGGAGATGCTTTTTCACCCACAAAGAGTTATAAACCCATGGAACTACCTACTCGCCGAAGCCGTAATTGCCAAAACTCTGTTAACTTTTAAAGTCGAACTAGAAAAGATCATCAGGACAAATGGGGATGGGGGGGCATCTTCGACAAGCCGCTGGCTTCCTGTACTCGTCAAGCCCACGAGTATTATAGTGTAAATCAGGTAAATCAGCAACGCTTTCATTCGCCCAGCGGCTTCTGGGTGGTACAATCAAAACACTGCTTAAGTTCGTATTTGTGCATGACAGTTTCCAGATTGCTTTTCACCGAACAGCGGTTCATTTCCTCAAACAACCAACTGATTTTCACATATTAATGTCTGATTTCACCTAATGTATTACTTTTTTCAGTCTTTCACCTTATGACGATCTCTAATATGTTAGTTTCGTGAATGATTTTAAGACCTATCAACCTCTGGAGGATTATTAAGGCCACCTCAATAGTTTACTGACTAACCAGGAAGTATACTCTAGTCCTGAACATAGTACAGGACTAATGTAAACTTTCAGTGTATATTCACCGTGAAGCAGAATACATACCTCTCGTGAATATATCCCCTTTTATAAGAACGGGAAAGAATACAACGTATGATTCACTTTGACAACATGAGTGAAAGTGCTGTATTTAAATGTTAGGGTGACTGTATCAGAGGCTACAGTAGAAGGTATCCACCACATTGGCCAAAAAAAAGGATGTAGTCTTCGAAGACATCATCATTCTAAGACTTAAAAAATTATGTAGTCTGAAAGACAGAAGAGTTAGGGGGGAGACATGATCACTGCCTACAAAATTCTCAAGAGGAATTGACAAGGTAGATAAAGATAAACTGTTTAACACGGGTTGTACGCGAACAAGGGGACACAGGTGGAAACTGAGTATCCAAATGAGCCACAGAGACGTTAGAAAGAACTTTTTCAGTGTCAGAGTAGTTAACAGGTGGAATGCATTAGGCAGTGATGTGGTGGAGGCTGACTCCATACACAGTTTCAAATGTAGATATGATAGAGCCCAGTAGGCTCAGGAATCTGTAGAACGGTTTATTAACAGTTGAGAGGCGGGACCAAAGAGCCGAAGCTTAACCCCCGCAAGCACAACTAGGTGAGTACACAATGTTGACCAGCGTGGCATCCATACCTCGTTAAACACACAACAATATTTACACAATTTGTATAAATATACGAAAATATCTGTATCTTTAAAACATATTATGTTTTCCTATTTTTATATTTCAAATTGAAACATGTCGCAAAGTTTGCTTAGGCTGACAACAATAGATGTATTGTTTTACATCTATTATGGTCTGTTTTGTGTACGTCTGTTTTGTCATTTAAACTATTACAATCTAATTTTCCTTTGAGAGTGTGGAACTAACTGTCATTAAGAGATCATTCCTCCTGTGAGCAGCTAAACTGTCCTAATGGTTTGGTTTCCCACTGATAGTGTGGTTGTAAGTCTTATGAAAGCCTCACTAATTCAACAAGTGACGTTCCTCTCTGGATATAATCCACAATAATTGCCTAACTCCAGGGTCCGTTGACAACTCTGCTACACGACCCAGATAATAACAGCCTATTATATCACATTATAATGTCAAGCGTCTCCGACGTTAGACGCGGATTTATGCAAGAATTAGTGATTCAGGGAAGAGTGTCTCCAGCAAATGGACAGTTGGTAATGATGGTTTGCCTGCAGAAGCCTACGAATACGCCCTTAATGGCTTTATGATCGCCTTCAGCATGTGAATATGGAGATTGATCATGCAGAAATTCGTGCCCAAGAACACGATTAAATGGGTTCATCACTCCAATTCTTAAAAGTGCCATGAGAGAGCCAAAACAATCACGACAATTGTGAACCCAGAGCTGTGTATTGTGTTTTCTTCTGAATTTCCTTTTATTTACTATATTACAAATCAAGACGAGTTTGTTTTATACATATAATCAAAATGTTTGCATGTACTCTAACCTATATTTAAGACTTTACTGCTCTTGTGTTCTTATGTTCTACTGCAGCTAAATAATGCCAATTATCTTTCCTTTCCAAGTCACATAATACTTTCCATAATACTGTCAACAGTATTAAGAATTATCATTGCAATGCGGAAAATGAAAAGCAGATAAATGTAATAGAAAAAAATATTAATAATAACTATAATTATTATTATTGTACCCAAAGTAACTAAGTTGTTGTAATTTTACAAATTATAAAGTATCTGAAAATTCTTGCACTGTATCCATATTTCGCATCTAGTATATAAATTAAATATAGAGGAATAATATGCGGAAAAAACCCTATTTGAAAAATTAGAGAATCCTGAACAGGTTTTCGGCTCAATTCGCCTTCATCAGAGCAAGATAGAGAGTGCTTTTTGGATCAGCGTTTTTGTGATCGTTGTTGCTTACAGCGGACTAATATATAACCTTTGTAGAGTAGAGACTAATGATCATAAACAGTAGCTCTTCTATTGTTTTGTAATATGCAATATTTAAGTTATTTTAGGTGTTAACAAAAGAACCTACCTCTAGTGTATAATAATGTATTGTACATATATTGATGTTGCAATGCAAGAAATTTATTACTACATATCATTATAATTATAAGGTGTGCAGGTTAGATGTAACTGTTAATGAACAAATTCTCGCTGAGGTCTGAGGGTAGATGAGGGTAAAAAAATTTTTGGCGCTACTGCACAGGATATTCATCCTATACGCAAAGATGCATAGAATGAGTATGGGGTGCACAATAAACTACCGCTTGCAGGATGAGTATGGGGTGCACAACAAACTAGCCAACGAATCATTAGCAAAATAGACAGACAATCACTGACCAATCTTGTATCCACCAAAACACCTGGCACTTGGAAGCTTCGCGCCTTCTTCCCTTAAACAGTACTATAGTTCCATGAACAATCAGGTCAATTCTGATTGTATCCTTGTCCTATCCTGAAGGCCTACCACCTCCCCCCCTAACACTATATTCCTAGGACTCCCTCTGGCACATAAATTAATTTATTACTCAACAGTGTACCATCTATTTACCACCTGTGTACCAGTACACCATCTGTGTACCACCTGTGTTCCAGTACACCATCTGTGTACCAGTACACCATCTGTGTACCACCTGTGTATCAGTACACCATCTGTGTACCACCTGTGTACCAGTACACCATCTGTGTACCACCTGTGTACCAGTACACCATCTGTGTACCACCTGTGTATCAGTACACCATCTGTGTACCACCTGTATACCAGTACACCATCTGTGTACCACCTTGTCCTCCTAATCACACTTCCTCTGCTTCCTTATTTTTCCCTCCTCCACCTCCTGGTAACTGCTTTAATCTCTTCCTCACACATTTGAGATATAATACGTTATGATTCAGTTCATGTATCAATATTCTGTCACTGTCAAGGTAATACATTGATATTGGAGGCAGGGTGTAATGCGAGCCTCTGGTAACGCCCTGAATATTTAACTAAGGCAGAGGAGGTGTACCTCCTGCCCAACCCCTTCCTGGTCACGAAGTACGGTCCTTATACAAGCCAGTGTTCCTACATAATTTACGGGATCACTATAGCCCGTGCTACATGGACATTTCGTTCTGAGTGGCTAAATCTGAAACAGCAAACAACATTATATATATTCCATTCAGTTATGCAGGCAATGAGTCACAATAACGTGGCTGAAGTATGTTGACCAGACCACACACTAGAAATTGAATCGACTTGAGAATGGTCCAGGACGGACCGAAACGTCGTCGTCCCTTCAATTTCTAGTGTGTGGTCTGGTCAACCATTTAGTTATACCTTTACATGCGCATTCAGTGTTACATATTAATTTATCTCAGTGTACTCAGTGTTGTCGTTATTTGGCTTTTGGTGTTATTTTATTATTATTATTATTATTATTATTATTATTATTATTATTATTATTATTATTATTATTATTATTATTATTATTATTGTTTTGTTTGTATGTTACTTGTCAAAGTTCATCTTAATGTTTGTGAGATAGAACTACACATTTGCTTAACAGCTATCTGTAGTACTGTGCGAATACTATCTTGTATTGAATACAACAGTATGTTTGAACCATCAATTTACAAGGTTTTTGAGTAGAGTAATCTCTTTTTTTTCCTTGTCTAGTCTCATGAGAGGAACGTGTATCTGGCGCCACCTTGAGACAGCTATCTGGTGGGTTATGTCTGAGGCACTAACGACGGTAGCAAATTAAAATAGCTGTAAGGGTTTCGTTGAGGTAATTTACAGTTTCCTGTTCCATGAGTAAGTCTTTAAACAACTCCTGATTGTAGCTTTTATCAAGGTGCTTTTCAGGTCTCTCAACAAAGGATATTTTGTTTTTATTTTACAAACGACTAAGAACAATAGACCCTTCCTGATAACTTGCTTTTTTTGTAGAAAGGTTCAATCCTGACTTTTTTTTTCAGATTAGTGGGCAGGTTTGTTGGTCAAGGCAAAGGGGAAGAGAGGTGCAAATGGAAGTGAACGCGGTTTGTTTACACAGCTCTGCGAACATTCGTTTCCAGTAGAAGATGTGTGTACTTTATATATTGTAATGCTACAGAAAGATTAACGGGAAATGGCAAGGGAAGGAAGCACAGGGAGAGAGCAATCTTGTTCAGTTTCATCTCTCTCGTTAATTCAGACGCTATAAATTGAGTCTGCTCCGTGTTACTTGTAGCTACAGGACCATGAGGTCTGTTATGACTCCATATACCGCCGTAGGTGGAGGTATGGAGCATAAAGCTGGTAGTTGTCGGTTTTTTCTTTGATTATGGTTATCAATCTTTACTGACTACTGCAAACGACCTGATGATTTAATTCATATGTCCTAGTGCCTCATATCAATAGCAAATTATTGGATATATTTTGTATTTTTTATAAATCACTTATAAATCTTCTTTCGGCGGGTCGGTCGTTCTAGAGAGATGCCAGACTCCTGATTTTTCACAATTACAATTTTGTAATAATTTTATTAATATTATGTGACCAATGTTATCAATAAAAGCAGGTAAATAAAATAGTTCTTGTTCACTAAAGCCAGACGAAGAGAATATTGACCCACATGGAAGATATCGGGGATACATTCTTCCTACTTAGCATGCAGCCACTGGGATAGGCTTTCTCTCACATGATGCCGTGACACTGTTGGTGTCGGGCCCTGTTGAACCAGCTCTCTCCTGCCCCCCATCGTAGGTCTAGACAGCATATTAAACAGCGGGAACTGTTTAGTATTCCTTCTGCTATTAAGAAGACATGATTTTATGTTCTATGGAATCATATATTTCCTGGCAGAATATATGTACATTAGAAGCAAATTCTAGGCCGTTTAGTGGGTTCAAGCTCAGGAAGAGGTCGGAACATTTCGTGCAAAGATTATTTGCCAGAGTATCAGTAATGACTGGAGACCTGAATGTAAAGCGACTGGCGAATCATGTTCTGGGCGCTAATCAATAGAGTTAGGCTGGGGCTTCTCTCTGCATCATGAGTTTTGAGGCTTTTACTATTTTTCCTATTGAAAACTTGTAAATAATCTCAGTTTTTATAGTAAGTCATCATTTTCGTAACATTTTAATTTAAAACATACGAGTCATTTCATTCACTTGGGCACTTGGAGTCTCGAGCCACCGACTCTAGTAGTGGGAAACAGTAGCTTTATCAACTGTACCACGGACAGCCTTAATAAGGAAGACTTCCGGAAGTAACTAACCGCTGCCCAACTGAAATCTTAATCCTTTCCTTGCCTGTCACACGAGCTCAGAGGAATTAAACGATCCACTTCCACGTCATATAACTTGTCAACTACACTACCGTAGATAATAACAATTTATTCGTTTGCGTCATATAAAGTGACTTGTCTTAATACGTTCAGATACTTGTCAAAACTATGCTTAGGTGCGTGCCCTATTGCTTTTAGATTTTAGGTTCGTGCCTTAACATTTTGAGATAAGTTCGTTGATACTATTAGATATGCGCTTCAATTCATTGCGTCCGATTCCTCCACTATGCCCTCATCAGTAGGCATATAGCTACTTATGTCGGAATGTAAAACATAAGCTTGTGAGTGTCTTATTTTGTAAATTGAAGCCTTTATCACACGAACTGTGTTGCAAGGACAGTTTTAAAGTTCGAGACAAAATCCTGGCAAGCTGCAAGTGTTGGAAATCAAAAGATATGTTTTGGGTACGTTTTGTGCAAGATGTTTTATGCAAGATATTCAACTGTCACTAAACAGGTGTGAATCAGCTGTCATTACAAAAAGGTGTCGATTGATTCCGGTTCAATATTCTCATAATAATATATATAAGAGGCTTAAGTAAAACAACTGTCACAAATAGTTTTAATTCACTTTATTTGTACATTTAAATATTTTATTCTACAAGAAAACATAAATATGTTTTTGTCTAAAACTCGTGAACTATTTAGTTTAAATTGTTCCTGCTGCGCATTGATTTGTCGATTTTGATAATAAATTCTCAATTTATTTTCGGAAAATGAATAGAATTATATATATGCATTTTACATTCTAATACCCAGCTAAAAATATACAGTTTAGCACATATTACTTAACGAAATTGGATATTTATAGATAAATTATCTAATCTTTGACCTCAGATTATCTGTAACACCCTTAGGAATAGCTATAACATATATGACAAGCATTGCAAGAGATATTTGTACCGAATGGTGAATTCCCCTTCTTGGTGTATATATACTGAGTATACTTTAGTCCTGATCTATATTCAGGACTAAAGTATACTGTATTGAACATAAGAGAGTATTGTCCTATGTTTAGGACTATACTGAACATAGTTGGTGGGTAACAGGGGTTACCCTGTTGCTGGTTGGTGGGTACTCAATTGTGGTGGTCTTAATAACCCTACAGAGGTTGACACAGTTTAGGTTCAACACCAAACAAAAGCTTTAAAGGAAAAGTGATAACAAAACTGCTTTTCGGCATTAAACTTACAGACTGCATGAAAATAAATGTCACAAACGTTCAAACGATGAAGCACTAGTGTAAGATGGGTTTTTAAAATATATTACCCCCCCCCCCCCATTTAGAAGATGACAATGATAATAATAACCATATATATTAAATCAAATCGAAAGACACTGCTTCTTCTGATAACTAAACTTCTTATATATATTTATATTTAGTACGACCGGCCGAGAACACAGTCCGTACCCTTACCCGATCTACTTAACATGGAGCTAACGACCTCCTGAGCTGTACAAGGTCGTCCTTAACAACAATGAACTGTGTTGAGGACGACCTGGTTGAGCTTTGGGACTCGTAAACTCTTTAGTAAATACAGACTAAGACGTAAGTGAATGCTGGTCCAGGGAGCAGGATTCATCAAGTACTTACGTGGTGTCTAGTTACGAAACCTGTACATCTTTCCTCAAAGATGGTTTACATTTATTTAAGAACTTTAAGTTTAGTTTAAGTTTCAGTTTAAGAGCTCCGAAATACTGCGAGAATGCTTATAACAATAGAAACCTCGGGAAGCAAAGTTTCAATACTCGCAAATTATTTGATAAATTCGAAGTTTTTACACACACACACACATCATTGAGCAAAGATGTAGAGGTTTCGCAAATGAATGCTTAAAGGCTGGATTTATCCTGGCACAGGGTAGCAAGTCAAAGAGTTGATATAATAATGCATATAAATTATTCAATTATTCAGAAACAGGGAATTTTTTCCGTCTTTCACCACACATATGTTGGATTAAGCCATTAATTATAGGAACTAAAAAAATCTAGTAATTAGGGACAGACATATATTTCTTAAGGTGACCGCTCGAGGTTTTCTTAAGACCTTTAATCGCGTATGATTGTTAGTGTAAAAACGCATGTGGTTACGTTATGTGTCTTTCGGTGATCTTACTTAGTTACGTTTTCGACGCACGGCAAGATGCTGTACGTCGCTAGTGACGTATAGCCAGCTTATACGTTGTTATGGTCGCACAAGTAGCTTATAGGTCGTTACTGGCCATTAGTCAATGTATATCTAAATTTCCTATGATAACATTTACACAAACATAAATCTATATATAAATAATAAATAATTATATACACACTCATACACATGCACACACATACACACACACACACACACACACACACACACACACACACACACACACACACACACACACACACACACTCACACATATATGTAAAGCTTTGTTTACTTGCGATATGGAATATAAAATATCTCCAATTTTCAACATATAACGATAACTTCAACATAAATCGGTCAGTTAAAGTAAATACGGAGGTGATGGATGATGCTGCGTGTCCACCAGCAGTACCTGTCCTTGCCGGAGCTGGTCGCCAAAGACAGCCCTGAACAAGGAGTTGGGACACTCCACGTAGCGCGTCACGCAGTCCCCTTGTCCCTCTCTGTCCTCTTGCAGCAGACCGATGGATGGTCTGGAACGGATCAAATCATTTATTATTCAAAGAAGCCTGCAAAGTTTCAAGGCAATTTTACCCCCGTCTGTGTTACAGAACATTGCAAGCTTCAGATATGGCTTTCAGGATATGTCAGTGCGAGAGTAGAAAGGCGTAAGTTAAGCGGAAAACCCGACATTTTTACCTGTTGGAGAATATCTTACATAATTTCCCCTGCTTGACTCACTGTCCTCCTTCGCTTCGGAAGAAGCTCGCTTGAGCTACCACAGAACTCTCGTTATTGATATACTGTGGAGGGCATTCGTATGTCATAGTAAAGGAGCTGCTTCAATCACTATAAAGAGGCGTGGATCAGCAGTCACTATAAAGTAGAGTGGATCAGCTGTCACTATAAAGAGGTATGAATCAGCTGTCACAACAGGCCAGAAGGACAGACTGGCTTAGCATCTGGCCTCACAATATCTGGGTCACTCACACCAACTGCAACACAATATTTCTCCATCTTTACCTGAAGAACTGCAGAAGAGCGTTTAAGGCAGGCGTTCTGGAGGCCGCTCGCTGCATTTCACACAGAGTCAAATTCCCACAAGCTCGTGAATTAACTTCCATAGCGTCCAAGGTGGACTCAAGAGCTTCGGCACTAAAATGTAAACAAAATAGTGATGCTTAAAAACTTACCCTAAACAGAGCAAACATGGCTACAATAAAAATGCAAAACACTGTGAAACACAATTTAAGACTATTTAATAAGGAAGATAATGGAGTCGATTACATTTCTTTTTTATCAAAAAATCTTCGATAAAATTCAGTTATTGGATTTGTCAAATGCCACTCTTTAAGGGATTAATGCAGGCAACTGACACATAATGGCTGAATGAATTCCTTTCCCAACAATTTGTAACTTGAAATGTTAATAAAAAAGTATTTTTTGTTAAGAGAGGACAGTTGTGATGCCGGAAATATTCCCAATCAGCTACTCAGAGGAATACGATCTTTGACTATTAGTGAAGATGATAGTTTCAAGAGTACCTCCTAGAATGTCCTCACCTCTTTAAAGCTTGATTCAGGAAACTGAAGACATCATACGAATCAGTTTCAGGAAGCAGATCCCACATAGTCGACGAGACGCTACGTCGTTGTCTCACTGGTGGCAGGAAGATGACGTAGATGACGTATATGGCTGAGAGCGTCAGCACCGTCATTGTGCAAATCTGTACGAAGAATATGCCGATGCCCTCTGCCGGTGGACACAAGGAAAGATATCTCATAATTGATTGAACCAAATCTGCTTGGGGTAGCTTTGCTACTCTAATCAAATGGTGCCAACCTCTTATTTTATTATTATTATTATATATATATATATATATATATATATATATATATATATATATATATATATATATATATATATATATATATATATATATATATATATATATATATATATATATATATATATATATATATATATATATATATATATATATATATATATATATATATATATATATATATATATATATATATATATATATATATATATATATATATATATATATATAACTGAAAACTCCACACCCCAGAAGTGACTTCGTCAAATATGTGCTCTCACCTGGGTTTCCATAACTGAGGATCCTCTCATCTGCTTGTAAGACTTCGGTGTCTTCTTGATGTGTGTCTTCAATGTCAGACGCTGATGAATAGGTCACTAGACAAGTCACCAGCACTATCAGCATCTTCCACGCCTCCGTCATTATTCACTAGTAGCAGGAGAACCAGTCAGAAGAACCCGACGAACAGTCAAGATAATCAGTCAGGCAATCAGATGAAGTGATGGCAGTACAGTTGGACTGTGATGAATGGCGTCGCCTCGACGGAACACAAACTCACCACACTGGAACAGAGGAGATGCAGGGAAGATATGATAACGATGTACAAATTACGCGTTTTGATATCCATCTATTGAGTAATCCCCGTATCTAATTACCTGCTTTAGGAGTCAAGTCATCTCCCGAGAACTGTCCACCTCGTGTGTTTAAGATTGCTCAATCTCCTCGCATCAGATCATGTCTCAAGCCAGCATAATTAGCTTGAAGAAAATCTGGCATCCTGACCGCATTCTCTGCTTCCTAGATTGCTTCTATATTGGTACGGAGTCTTGAAGTGGGTAGAATTAATTAATGCTCAACTATATTCTACCCACTTCAAGACTCCGTACCAATATAGAAGCATCAAGAGGAAGTATGGGCCAATAGGCCCTTTGCAGTTACTTCCATTCTTATGCTCTCATATATCCAATTAATACCCATTGTTCCGTGTTGTGTCTTGTGTTTGTCAAAAGTTTGTTCACCTCATCCAAAACTGTTGCAACATATCACCTTACCCAAGTGCGAGTATATAAGGCGGATAAGCTGTTTAGTGTTAGCATAAGTAAAACTCCGTTTAGTGTTTTCAGGTTACAGTTGTGTGTGTAAACTAAAGTCTTTGAAAATGTAATAAGTTATTACGAAACGCGTTCAAGCGTCGCGTCAGACTAGAAATAAAAATGAATTTTTGAGAATTGATTTTTCAATTACCATCGACAGTAAAAAGAAACATAAGAAATATTGAGAAAATTCGTGTTAGAATTATTAATCTTACTTTTTCGGTCAGATTTAACAACATATATATATATATATATATATATATATATATATATATCATTCGAGTGTAAATAAGCAAAGTTTATACGCCTTGTATCTAGGTCTGAACACCACCACAAAAGTTTACTAACTTTAAAGTAAGTATACTTTAGTCTTAAACATAGTCCAGGAATAAGGAAACTCTCGGTGTATATGCATGGAGAAGATGAGTATACATCACGGTGTACATATTCATGCGCTCCTTTAATCAAAGTAGCTACTTAGAAATTCTCTGACAGCCGCGGTGCAGCACGCTGGGTTGATGAGGCAGCAGCAATTCAATTCAATTTCTTTCTTTATTATGCACCCCATACCCATCCCATGGGCGGTGATGTAAAGGATTACAGAGACACATAATCGGTTCAGGAACTGAACCCTCTAGTTCGTTTAGCTAAGCAAATAACAATTTTTGTCGCTAGTTACACATATTGTTCCTTTAGGTTTAGCTCCTCAGAACGAAGTGTCCATTTAGCACGGGCTATGGTGAGCCCGTAATAGTTACACAATTATTAATGTTTTATATACAGCAGCAGCAGCAGCAGGAGGTCAGGCAACCACCTCGCCACATGACAGTCTGCCTGGATCTGGTAATTAATGTGTCATGCGGTACCACATGGTCGCTCCTACCGTTATCATGCACTGTGAACACTGCGGTAATCAGCGTTATGTTCTTCTTTATAAGCAAAGTCTTTCTCTCACTTTGTTATAGAACTATTGACTGGAATTCACAAACTTCTGAACGCAATTACATTTAAAAATACGAATTAACATTTTCAAATCATTACAAGTTGTTAATGAAGATAAGAAAACGGAGAGTGTAGTTGTTTATTAGTTACTTCATGGCCGGCTTGTACTATCCAGCACCCAGATTCACGAAGCAGTTACACAAACACTTACGAACCTGTACATCTTTCTCAATCTTTGGCGGCTTTGTTTACAATTATTAAACAGTTAATGAGCTCCGAAGCACCAGGAGGCTGTTCATAACAATAACAACAGTTGATTGGCAAGTTTTCATGCTTGTAAACTATTTAAAAAATGTAACCAAGGCCGTGAAAGATTGAGGAAAGATGTACACGTTCGTAAGTAGTTGCGTAACTGCTTCGTGAATCTGGCAGCAAGACATGTAGGTCATCCATCAAGAAGGAAGCATTAAATGTAATTCATAACGGAAGGTGGGAGACTAACCTAGACAAGTCATCCATCAACGAAGAGGCGGACCATTACACTCGTACTGTGTTTGATGGTGTCGTGTACAGCTCACTTAAACCTGTTAAATCTGTTGTTGTTGTTATAGATTCAAGTTCTCGGGGTTAAGTTCCAAGTAGCACGGGCTATGGTGAGCCCGTAGTGGACTTACCTGGCGCAGGAGCGGGGCTGAGACTCTGAGCCGTCTGTCCTTCAGCCTGTCTATACAGACATTGATCTGGATTAACGGAAAGCTAGTTAATCCAGCCTCCGCCCTCAGAGTTCGTGAATGAAAGCGCTCTATACTTGACTTAACCCTGCTTAGGGTTCAGCGTTCCTCGCTGACTGCCTGTGTTCCAACCACACACAACTCTAAATGATTCACAGCCGATTGTCCGCACATTAATACCAGAAAATTTAGATTTATATACAGATTTCCATATATTAAAAATAAACGCATATTCGGTATAATAATAATAATGATAATAATAATAATAATGATAATAATAATAATAATATGCAATTTTGGAGGCATGAACCATTAGAAAATATCACTTACTACCCTGGGACAAAAACTATAACATATTGTAATAATAAGAACAATAATTTAAAACAAAAATTCAAGTACACTCTAAGTATTATTGTACAGGTATATGATGTGCGTTTTTGTAACACCAAACTAACACAAGTGACTTGTAAAGCAAAACAGAATCAAAGAATTACTAACATAAATATCTAAATAAAGTTGAGACTCCAGTAAAGTGGCCTAACACAGGTGCTGAACACCTGTAGATCATGGCATCAACATTACTATAACCATAACCGCCTTGAAATATGAAAGACATGAGATTACTCCCCATAAAATGTACGTTGATCTCTGCTTTACCTCATAACTCAAATAAATACACAATAAAGTCCTGGATGACTACTTACATTGCTGAGGTTTGTATCTAGAAACCTTAGGTACAAAACCCATGACTTATAGTTCTCACCTTGAGCTATGACGCTGCAGCTTCTGTGTCACAGCTTCTTCAGCGTTACTGGCCACACACACACACGTTACCTCTTGAGCACCACATGTGTGAATGGCTCGCCCTGGTCCCTGGAACCTAGTCTGCTCCTACCCTCTTGACCTACCTACCCCCAGCACGCCCGGGGGAGAGAGAGAGAATTACAGGACATATATACATACGAAAATCATTATAACTCTTTATTTTCATTAGCGTTTAGTGTTATTTTTATTCGAATCTTTGTGTCTGAGCCCAAAGGTTTGCTCTCTGACGTGAAAGGTTTTTATGTTAGGTGAAGGAAAGACTTGAGTGTTGGAGATGGTTGTCTGGTGCTAGGCTGCACCTCTCAGCACCGGCGCACTGAACCCATTACAAGTGAGCGTCATGGGATCTTATGACGCCTTGTGGTGTCAGACACTGGCATTGACTCCATTTTCCTAGCAGATACTGGTTGTCAGTGCTCAGTAATGTTCTATGCTCTAGTACCACTTACTTCAAAGTGTTGTGCAGGGGTACATCACATTGTAATATTGACAGTTCTTTACCGGAAGATCCGGTTTCCAGGATGGAAATGAATTCCTTGTGGATAAGAAAGTGTCCCAGTTTCTAAGATGTCCAAATAACCTCTTGTTTACACGACAGGGATGACTGATTAGTAATGTGTACACCAGGAGTACAGCACCTTATGTGCACATCAAGAGCACACGAACTTGAGTGTACACCATTATCCAGGCAGAAGATTCTAGCGCCTCTTAGTAAGAACATTCGACATCTAGTACTCTGTACCCAGAGTCTGAGTCTATTTGAAACACTGTTTTGGGATCTTGTGTGACATAGTTTGATGTGTGAAACGCTTTATACAACCCACTTCCTGGTCGTTCCATCGTCATGAATTAGTTACACTTATTTTTAGTCTTAACTTAAACTTAGTCACACTAGTCACCCAGTCACTTAAAGAGGAGCCAGTCTCAGTGGAAATGAACATCCATTGATGAGGAATAACCTCAAAGGTACTATCTATCTATCTATCTATTTATCTATCTATCAATCTATCTATCTATGTCAGAGAGGTCGGAGGTTCACCATCTTCTCTGTGGCACAGTGTCACTTTATTGGAGGCGACTCAAACCGTTAATCCGATCATGTTGGGCACGTATCCCACAACAACCACGATGAAAAATTGAGTGAGGCTACCCCGAAGCGTTTGCCCTTGAACCTCAGATAGACATTCATTCTAATTTATATATTCAGATATGCATCTGAATATATAGGATGTGCTATAGCTAGCTAGGCTATACTTTTTTGGTTAGGCGATAACGATACGTTATCTTGTTATCAGAACAGTGTCTACCGAATAATTTAGAGCCAAATAAATTTGTTTAGATAACCAATTTGATCATATTTAGTTTGTTAAACAGGGAATAAGTGTGGGTTGGATGTTATTCATTTGCAAGTTACATATTTATGATATCAGTGTGGTACTTGAGTGTGACCTCTCTGAGATATCGTAAAGGTGTGGCAGTCAAGATATCAAAGGAGTGGCAGAGAGATAAGTATTCCTCTCCTAGATATCGTAGTGATGTGGGGGTTAGTTAGATTTGTCCTCGCTAAGATATCGTAGTCAAATAAGTTTATCCTCTCTGAGATATCGAACTCAGAGAGGATAAACCTCTCTCGATATCTCAGAGGGTCATATCACTCTGTCCTCTCTCGATATCGCAGAGGGTCATGTCACTCTGTCCTCTCTCGATATCTCAGAGGGTCATGTCACTCTGTCCTCTCTCGATATCGCAGAGGGTCATGTCACTCTGTCCTCTCTCGATATCTCAGAGGGTCATGTCACTCTGTCCTCTCTCGATATCGCAGAGGGTCATGTCACTCTGTCCTCTCTCGATATCGCAGAGGGTCATGTCACTCTGTCCTCTCTCGATATCGCAGAGGGTCATGTCACTGCATTACCCTCTACACTCTTCTAACTGAGAACCTGTTCACTTCTGGCTCTGCCCTGTCAGTTCAACCGGTTCTGACAGCAGTTTTACCACTGGCAGCCACACCGTAATATTTCTGGTACTTTTGTGAAAATAAAACAACGATTTATTGACGTTTCCTGTTGAGCTTCGGTCTTGATATGTTATGTGGGTTGCCCAGGAGCCTTGCGCGTCTAGATATGCCAAAAATGTACTTTATTTGAAGCTCGTCAAAGTGTGAGAACGGTCAGTTCATTCGCTGACATACTTTCCAATCGCTAGTGTAGTGTATAACAACACCTAGTTGTTCTCACTTAGTTGTGCTTGCAGGGGTTGAGCTCTGGCTCTTTAGTCCCGCCTCTCAACTGTCAATCAATTGGTGTACAGATTTCTGAGCCTGTGTGATTGGTGTGTCGTCATTCATTCTCTCTACGTCTTCAGACAGTTGACTTCCTTCAAACCTTACTTCCCTTGTTCATCAACATCTCCTCATTTGTCTATTTGACTATTTATTTCTCTCTTTGTGTTCATTCCTCCGAAAATATTTTGGTTGGACTTGTGCGTGACAAGACTACATCTCTGAGTGAAGTGGTTGAATTGCTGATTGACTGATACTGATATCTGCATAATTAATACATGTTTCTGAATGCCTGGTTTGGATATCTGCATGACTGGGAGAGATTTATGAAATAGATGGCAGTGATTTGTTTCTGAGGGGTTAAGGTAGCTTTTCAAAGGCATATAGTCACTTTACTGAAAAACCTTCGTTACATATCTGCATTACTGGGCATGATGGCATATTACCTGCGTTGGTAGAAACAACTAGCAATATCATACGTATATTGCAATTATTTTGGGGAACTGTGCATACTCATGCAGGCACAGGTAAGATTTATGAGCGAGCATTTTATATTTCGTAATGATTGTAGTAAAATTCTACATGACTGAATTACATGTCTGTGTGATTGGAACAGATTGGAACAAATGCACGTAATCTCTGACGTACACAGATTGTGTACATCAGAGAATATCCTGGATAAGTGTACAATGACCATGAATAAAATAAATGAAGTTCCCAATGACTGGTTGATATTTAACACAGAAACAACTAAAGATGCCCATTTAACCCGGTTGGTTGTTAGTTTCGTTAACAGCTGCGATAAAGTGAAAGAAGTGTAGTGGATTGGGAATCTGAATTAAAGCATAAATTGACGATTGGTTTATTATTTCCTTACATAAAAACAAGTATTCAATCATTACAACTACAATGCATAGACTTTATTGAAACACAAGAATTGCTACTACCCAGGTGTTCCTCACAAGAATAGTCTCTTCTCAGGAGCATCTCACATGAAATATATTTCATCGTCCTTGCTGACAACGTTGTAAAACTTGGGACAAATCAAATAAGTCAACGACAGGTGATATTTCTTTTATTCAATAACTTATTAACTTATTACACACTTAAATAAATAAAAAGCCCACATCCAGCTCAAGGCTGACACATAATGCAGCAGACTCACGACATTAGCTACAGAATTTACTAACACTTACGAGACTCTCAAGTTCGATTTATTTTTAAATTCATTTACATTTATCACATAAATATTTAATATTGTTTACAGTCTCATCTTTACAGAGAATTTTACATATATGTTTAGTGCCAAAAGATATCTACTGAGAACATGAAGCAAAAATATGGATGGGGAATAAACGCTTCTTATATAGACCTGTTGTATGATTCTCACAACTTGCATTGAGACACGAAAATAATAACTATCAGGGGTCATATCCGAGGTCAATTCAAAGACAACTTTTCGAACGCCTTACAGTCAATCCGAACACGTCACACTACGTAGTCATTTCACAGCCCGACCTTACAAACAATGACCAAATGCTCATTAATTAACCCAGCCGCCAAAGTCGTGTTTATGAGTAATTAGCACTTTAACTCAACTCACAACTTCTGACGTTCGAGTATTTCTCGAACAGTGCTTCGTTCACTTCTTCTGTTCGAATCGCAGCTCTGCAAAGGCTTCACCCACGTACTACAAACACCTAACCTAACCTATGTCTAACTATACAATACATTCTAATATACAATTACTTAACATTTGAGAAATTACAGAGTCTTGATATACAGTACACTAAGATTGATGAATGATTGATGAATATGCCTTTGACGGCTGGGAAGACGAAGCCTGAAGATGAGTTGCTATCCAAACATCTCACACTGCACAGTCTATCCAAACATCTCACACTGCAGAGTCTATCCAAACATCTCACACTGCAGAGTCTATCCAAACATCTCACACTGCACAGTCTATCCAAACATCTCACACTGCACAGTCTATCTGAACACCACACACTCAACAATCTATCAAAGTACATTTTTTATCCTGTACTTCAGCAGTACAAAAAATCCAGACGCACTACATTCACTATACAAATTAATAAAGAGGTAGTCAATAAATAATTATAAATAAATAAATAAATAAATAGGAAAGTGTAAATATTTACATAAAGATTAAATGAAATTCACACTAACGTAAATGCAACACTTTACACACATAGGGTCATTAAAGAGGCTCGAACATACGACGGAGTAATGCCAATTTCATTGATGAATCGCCAGAGCGTACGATCCCATCAACATTGCATATATACAGTGACGAAGTAATAGGGACATTAGGGTGAAGCTATTGTACATAAAATTGGGCCTTGTACAATAAGAAGACAAAGACGGGTTTTGAATCTTATAGATAAGTACGGAGATACACAACTATGGTATGACAGGGTGGAATTTCCAGCCATATAATCTTTATAAATAACAATGCCAAGTAAAAATAATAGTGAACTAAAAATCTTCACGAATAAAAATATTTTTACTATTAAAACTTGTATTAACTTAATTATTACTGTAATATCATCATTCTTCAATGAATTTACCATATTAAAGAATGTTTTAAGCGCACACAATATTATGTATAGAGTACATTAATCTTAAAGTTAGGGGATAATTAAGTTAATGTTTTATTACCAAGATTAGATGGCAAGAAAATCGGCTTATCGTGATTACGTATTGATTACGAGAACTGACAATGTTAAGGACACTAACAAGTCACTCCGTATAGGTGTACTGGCCCTGAGGTCATCACAGTCAGGCATGCTGCACCTTAATTAATGCATAAATAAGTTAGTTTGATTACGATCAATGCCAAGTGTGAGGTGACAGGTCCACCCCACACCGTCTGGACCACAGAGGTGTGAGGTCGCTGCTCACCCCACAGCGTCTGGTCCACAGAGGTGTGAGGTCACTGGTCACCCCACAGCGTCTGGACCACAGAGGTGTGAGGTGACAGGTCCACCCCACAGCGTCTGGTCCACAGAGGTGTGAGGTGACAGGTCAACCCCACAGCATCTGGACCACAGAGGTGTGAGGTCACTGCTCACCCCACAGCGTTTGGTCCACAGAGATGTGAGGTCACTGCTCACCCCACAGCGTCTGGTCCACTGAGGTGTGAGGTCACTGCTCACCCCACAGCGTCTGGTCCACAGAGGTGTGAGGTCACTGGTCACCCCACAGCGTCTGGTCCACAGAGGTGTGAGGTCACTGCTCACCCCACAGCGTCTGGACCACAGAGGTGTGAGGTCACTGGTCACCCCACAGCGTCTGGTCCACAGAGGTGTGAGGTCATTGCTCACCCCACAGCGTCTGGACCACAGAGGTGTGAGGTCACTGCTCCTCCCCCCACAGCGTCTGAACTAGAGAAGTTGGACACTCTGAGAAGAGAAGAGCACAGTCTTCTAGAGCAGCGCCGGCGTCTTGAGCTTCCTTGTACTCCTCTAGACCAGTCACAGACGGGCTGGAAGAAAGAGATAATGACCCTTAATGATGCACTAATAATAATTCCCGTCGTCAGGAGACAGGTAAGGTAATTAGAAGAGAAAACGCTGAGCCATTATGACTATATAAACAGTTTATCTATATAAACGCTAAGGTGAGCATGTCTTAGTGCTTTCATCGTTGTTACAGGGACAAGAAGCATGTGCTTAGGCTTGTATCAAAGTCCCCACTAAGTCGACCTTCCTCAGGATGCAACTTCACAACAGTTATCTATTTCCCGCAAGTACTGCAGCACTGAGCCCAGCAGAGTACTCACCTGAAGTACTGCAGCACTGAGCCCAGCAGAGTACTCACCTGTAGTACTTCAGCACTGAGCCCAGCAGAGTACTCACCTGTAGTACTGCAGCACTGAGCCCAACAGTGTACTCACCTGAAGTACTGCAGCACTGAGCCCACCAGTGTACTCACCTGAAGTACTGCAACACTGAGCCCAGCAGAGTACTCACCTGAAGTACTGCAGCACTGAGCCCCCCAGAGTACTCACCTGCAGTACTGCAACACTGAGCCCAGCAGAGTACTCACCTGAAGTACTGCAGCACTGAGCCCACCAGTGTACTCACCTGAAGTACTGCAGCACTGAGCCCACCAGAGTACTCACCTGAAGTACTGCAGCACTGAGCCCACCAGAGTGCTCACCTGAAGTACAGCAGCACTGAGCCCCCCAGAGTGCTCACCTGAAGTACTGAAACACTGAGCCCAGCAGAGTACTCACCTGAAGTACTGCAGCACTGAGCCCAGCAGAGTACTCACCTGAAGTACTGCAGCACTGAGCCCTGCAGAGTACTCACCTGAAGTACTGCAGCACTGAGCCCAGGAGAGGCATCCTGGAGGCGGCCCGCTGCACCTCACACACAGTGCGCCTCCGACAAGCGACCTCCTCCACTTGCAGCATGGCGAAGGTCGACTCGACTGGGTCGATGCTGAAACGGAGAGTAACGAGCTGCACATTAATATCTATACATGTGATTATCCGTTATTCTAGATCATTAATAACTGTTTTTGGTTCTATTAAGGAGTATATAGATTAATGTAAGATGTATGTGTGCGTACATATGTATGTTTATATATAAAAAACACTTTCTTAGTTTTAAATTTTGTATTTTGCAATTGGTCAGGTTAAGCCATTTCTGTATGAGAACGTTTTGTAAGTTATTGTAATATATTCTCATTTATGGATCCATAAACTAATGATTTTATACGACAGAAGATTCATTTGACATTTATAGCACAGCTGAGACAAGCATAAGTACGATAACATATCTATGCATTATTTTCTTCATTCAATTACAACAAATATTCGCGACACATTAATACTCTCATACAAAATTAATTGTTTCTTCGATCCCACAGAACCCAGTTGGCGATAAATTCATAGTGTAGCACATGTTCTTGTTTGATAACTATTCTATTGATTTCATACGTGATATTCCTCAAGCAGAATGCAATATGGCAGCTGTCATCCTCTAACCGCGACGATCGACAGTGGCACCTTTTGAGAACTGGTGAATCACTTACCTGTCGAGAACCCGAGTTAGAAGGGATCCGCCAGCCCGAAGGGATCTTTGAAGGGTTGGATGGCCATAATAACTGTCCGAGTCGGAGACGGTGTAGTCCTCGTCATCGAACACAAAGGTATCGATCCTCTCAACATCTGTGGGAAGCCCTACTCCAGGGACGACCCTCTGGGCGATGCCAAGAGCGTAGGTACGGAATAGGACGATTAGCCCAATCACAATCCCAGCGATAATGACACCTTTTACGGCGAGCACGATGAAGAAATCTGTATAGGGGGAACTATTTCAGCCAAAATAACATGAGGACTGACCTGTTTAACAACTGCTCAAGGAACCTCACATCGTCTCCGGACCTGGCAGCTGGCATAAGGTCCCACAAGTTCCAAGAAAGGCTGCGACCACTGAATGCAGGCGCGAAGACAGCGGTGATGATGTAGAAAACAGCAAGGATGGCCAACCAGTATGTGACTAACTGCCCCAGGAACACGCCCAAGCCGTCTGCCGAGCCGAGGTACCTATATGTCAGCACATTCAACACCGCTGCTAATGTTTACACCCAACTGTCCACCACTCTTTCCTACAAATCCCTCATTGCCTATAGACTCAGCTCCTGTGACATCTCGGACTTGCTCTCTATCACATCTCTGGTGTCACTATATGACAGCTGCTGTCACTGTTATATCACCACAGCTCACTTTCACATATCACTATCACTGCTACACCAACATCATTTCACTTTCTCTGCATTATCACCTCACACTGATATATTTCCTCCTTACATTCTTTCTTTCTTTCTATCACATCTCGCATCAAACGTTTGTAAATCTTGAGACCCGTTGTGGCCACCGCTGCTCCTGTTCTGCTCACACTTATTGATCCCATTACTGCCATTTATTTACCGTTTTATTTTTATCTACTATTATCTTCGGCTGACATTACTTCTCCAACACTGAATATTACTTCAATCTGTTACTTTTCGTAGTTCTTGCTCTCTCCTTTTGCACAGTTGCTGGATACAACAACTCCCAACAACCACTTGCACACAACTACTAAAAGCAACTACCTACAACTTTAAACAAATACTCTTTACCTCTTCTCACAACTGCTGCACATATATGTATAAATGCCCGTCAACTATTGCTCATAACTACACACTAGTACTGTACATAACCTACCACTCATCTATTGCATACAAATATCGCTACTATGTTTCTAGTAATGACTTGATCAGTCAGATTGTTGTTGATAGCGGTCAAAAGGCTTATAACTGGCCATCATAACCAGGCTGATCCGACACTATAACTACAAGAACCGATCTATAACTCCCTCTTGACATCTTTCTTTTTCGTTACTGAAATATTTCTTTTAGAAGCTGGCAGACGATTACTCTGGATATGCTCCTTATTTCTTTGCCTTTGGTCACAGGTCATCAGCACTCACACTAGTCTTATTATTACTCACAACTAGACCGTACTTGCCTAAACTACTAGTTAACACCATACACAACTAGGTTCCTGAAGGACTTGTCTCAACTATCATCCATATTCTCATTTAATAATAAACAATTTTGCCGACTGCTAACCACTATTTAAACGTCCACTAAAACCCTCAGCTGCTACTAACACTATTATCAATCCACAACATCACAAACGTTCCATCACTACCATTGTACAGCATCACCAACAACACTAACTAACCATTCTTTGTTTACTATATGAATTATTTAAACATCTTTCACTTACTTTGATTTTATCGAGCTTCATCTGACATACACATGAACAAAGAGTTCCTAAGTTCACCAAAGTTTAAAACAATGACAATTTACAGCAAGTGACCTAATGTTAGTTGCTAATTACAATACGTTTAAGAATCATATATATAGACTATGAAACATAATATATAGATCAGGGAATATAATGATAAAGATCAGGGACTATAATGATAAAGATCAGGGACTATAATGATAAAGATCAGGGACTATAATGATAAGGATCAGGGACTATAATGATAAAGATCAGGGACTATAATGATAAAGATCAGGGACTATAATGATAAAGATCAGGGACTATAATGATAAAGATCAGGGACTATAATGATAAAGATCAGGGAACATTATTTCTTACAAGGAGTTAAATGCATACAACAAACATTAACTCTAAAAAGGATTTTTTGGCAAAATTCAGTGCTATTTAATTTTCTCCCTTTTATGTTAAATTCCTAATGAACAGTTATAGTGTAATATGAAAGCAATAATAGTAATAATAATAATAATTATAAGAATAATAATACCAACAAAAATACATTGAATAATCATATCTAATACATACAACTCATGAAATGGTAGGTACTTAGAAGAAATAATCAATATATAGAAGTGAATGTCTCCCTTTCTGTCTGAGGCTGGAAGCTAGATACATAGGTCTAGCCTCATTAAATTTTGTAGGATTAATTGTGATTTTATCAAAAGTAAAATTCTTATTGCAAGTAAAATATAATGGGAGATCGGGGTAAGTTAAGTATCCCTCTGAAATCGGTGAATGTGAAATGTTAAGCCCTGAGTCCATAGACTTCAGCATTAGTTTAAATAATAGTGAAATAATAAATTGATTTTCAAAACATGTGTCCAGATGACAGATTTGTATTATAGGCACAACCTTTTGTTTACACTGCAGGGGATAGGAAATGTGTGGCCAAGGAGTGTGTGTCCAGGGAGTGTGGGCGGGGAGGGAGCAGAGGAGGAGTATATGCCGGAGGACATTAGGAGGGTTCGTGGGGAGTGGGGGAGAACAAGATGGGGTAATGGGAATGGGAGGGTGTGTAGGTGGGAGGTCGAATGTAGATGATGTAAAGATGTTTACCGTGATGAACACATTGTGTATTGAAGATTGTTACAGCAATCTGGGAAACCGGGAAGGTGTGTGTACGGTAACATAAGGTGAGTGTGCAAACGTGTGTGTGTGTATATATATATATATATATATATATATATATATATATATATATATATATATATATATATATATATATATATATATATATATATATATATATATATATATATATATATATATATATAATATATACGCACAGGACTAGTCAATGTGAGATAAACAGTAGCGATTGCTACTCACTTATACACAGGGACCCCGGTGATATATTTTCTGTTATTTTCGGTATTCTTTAGTGTTATACAGTGAATACTGTCTGTTTTAATTTTAATTTTGACGTCAGTTTAAAAATACTTTAGTTTTTAATTATATCTATCAATTGGGTTCATCTGTTCAATATCGGAGAGTTGAACCAATAAAGCACGATATATGGAGTTAGAAGGCAAGTTGCTCACTCAGTCCATGGATTAACCGGATTTAATAGTCGATTCCTTCATTGGTCGGGATTCACGACAGCAGGATTAAGCAGGGAGGAATATCTGAATCATTTGGTTGAATATTTGTGAACAAGTTGGGATTTCCCAAGCGGCCGAGGACGCGATTATTCTCGGGAAATTGGCTTAAAATAAAATAAAATCTAGAGAGTCATCGTCATTCTAGAAATTACATTATTATACATGATGTTTTTTTACCTTTGATTGCTGGATCAACTAATAGCTTTGTCTCCGGGTCTTCCAGACCGTAGTCATAATCTTGAGCAGTGGTAGCTGCTATTAGACAAGCCGCCACTACCAGGGTCCTTAAGGTCCACGTCATCGTTCACCAACAGCGGGAAATGATCTGTATTGCAAAGGAAATTGTGTAAAAGACTGAGGTCCTAAACACGCACTATTCAGTGTAAGTAAATTGCAAATATATTGAAATATATCGAACCTTTAGATTCATGAACTCTATATCACACTATAGCATATATCACTCTCACTAGCATTAAATTCTTAAATACTAGTGAACTATTGTCTTAAGCTTAGCTTAACTTAGTCTGAGCCAAGATAATTATTGATTTAATACAACTAACTTGTAATTTATCGTGTTTTGTGTTTCGTGTAGTGCATTACCACGTTTAATCTGAAGATAATTTGCTTAGTTGAAATATATGAAACATTTGAGTGTTAAGAGTATTTGTGAACAATGCAAGAAGACACATAGCAGCGAACACAAGCATGCTCAGTACCGGGCGCGACAGAAAGTATACACGCAAAAATATTATCATGTACACTAAACATTTAGTAACATCACGCACGTGAACACCCTTTACGCTGGATGCGAGAAGGTTACGAGACGTGATGCACCACACAAGAGCCTTTGGAGCATACTCAAAGCTGACACAAACAGTGAGCTTGAACAGTAGTAGGATAGAAGAGTCTGAGTGAAAATTAGAGACTCAGATTAGATGTGGGGAGGTATAAGAGAGCTCTTCTTCAGCGTAAGTGTCGTGAACAGGTGCAACGAGCTGAAAAGGGAGGTAGTTGAGGCTAACAACGTCTAGAGTCAGGAACAGATATTGCTGTCGAAAATGCTTGAGGTAAGCGGGTTTGGAGTCATTGCAATTGACCACTGACTGACTGATGTTGCTCATGTATTGAAGTGTGTGTATGTACTACACACACACACACACACACACACACACACACACACACACACACACACACACACACACACACACACACACACACACACACGTGTCACGGTGAGAAGAAAGATATTTGTGGACGTAGGTGATGAGTGGGTGACCACATTGGTCAGTAGCAGGTCCCATTCCATTCCTAATTATGCCATATACCTGATTAAGGAAATTGACACCTCTATATTATCCTGTGTTGATGATGCCAAACAAATGGCAATAATCAGATTAGAGGAAGATTGTGTTAAACCACAAATTGAACATATTCCAGAGATGATCTGAAAATGGTTAATAGACTTCAACTTAATTAATGCAAAGTTATAAAGTTTGTAAAAGAAGTGAGAGTATCTTTACAGCATAACTTTGTGAAGTGAATATGAACAATATTCATATTCACTGAATATGATGACGATGATGATTCTGTGTTTGAGCTTAACGTGAATGTGGATCTGTAGAAGTGGTAAGAGTGATGGATCAATTTAAACAACTTACCTGGAATTTACAAAAACTATTCCTTGGCAAATAAAGTTGAGAAAAGTGAGCTGAGTAAGTAAAGTTGGTGGACTTGTCAGGAGAGATATGGCCAGAGGGCTACGTTATGGATGGTAGAAGCTCCTTCAGTTTGATTGGGTTTCTATGGACCAAATAACGTGCCAGTGGGTGGTAATTCTGGGTAATGTTCTGAACCCCAATGAGCAAACCAATTTACAAACGTGGCGAGTAAGTTACATATGATGATCTTTTCGCTAATGCTTTAAAATTCGTCCAAACACATTTTTTTCATTAAAAGCACAAACTATAATGCACTATTTCTGTCGATACCCGTAACTTTACCTTAAAAAAAACGAGTTCGTCACTTGAAACCAATTTTCTCATCTGTGAGCCACAGAAATCAGCAACATAGACGCGAGATAGTGAAATTCGATTAACTTTGTTATATAAATAATCTGCAACTGTTCCCAACCAGTATATCGTATACCTTCCTCACCTTGTTGTCGAGGCAGAAGGGCTGTGCCAACAGCAACGTGTATACCACCACCAGGAGACAAGTTTCCCTACCAACTGCCGGTGCGAGAGTGATCTGACTGTCCCGAGCAAGGGCTCACAGGCTTCTACTGGTCGCCGGCCGGCTCCACCGCTTGACGCGGCGTAGCTCTACTACACATATATTACGTCTCATGAACTACTCTGTGTATTATTGGCATAGAAAGTAAGCCATGTGTGTGTATTACCGTGAATATGGCACTTTTTCACGACAAATAAGCGACATTCTAAGACAAAACGACGGGTGATATAGTAGTTTTTCCGGCGACATCTTGAGACTGGGCCAGGGAGAATAGTGATCCCGCTGAGGTTGGTCATGTGATGATACCCGCCACATTGGGGACATGTGCAGTAGGAGATGATTACATCTTTTAAGCATTATGTTGCTGTTGCTTCAGCATGTCTGCTTCCTAATGTCCTTGAGATCTGGAAACACCTGGAATATAAGTGCACCATGGTCAAGGATTTTCTTGTTTTGTCTGAGCATTGCAGAGACGTGCCAGGCTGCTTCCAGACGCACAGGATCAACCACATATACACACATACTCACACACACACAATAATGCACATATGGCCGGCGTAGCAGGTTCACAATCGAAAGGTAAAGGGTTCGAGTCCCACGGCTGGATGTTAGGTCAAGGTTCCTTTCACCTGATGGCTCAATTCACCTTGTAGGAAATAGTGACCTCTGGAGTTAGGTATCTCTTATGGGTTGCATCCTTGGGGCTCTGTCAGTAGTTAGCCAAGAAGTTCCTCGATGAACCAAAGAGGAAATTTCAAAAATATATTTCTTGTGAATTCAAAAACTTATACAAATTTAAATCTTGGCCCGAAAACTGCTCTAATGACACAAATACCTATAATATTAATAAGGTATTATTTACCGGAAAATATTACCTTTTCATATTACCAAAACTTTAATGTTACCCGAATATTACCCAAACTTGTAAACTGCGACGAAATTAAGATGCATTCCTTGCATAAATGGGTAAGGAATGCATGTTAATTTCGTCTTTATGAAACCTTCCCTATTTTTTCTTAAAATTATAGTCTATACATAATGTTTGGGGGGGGGGTTTGTATTAAATATAGTGACATTATTACAATATTTGACCTCATATTACTTTATTGCTCGTTTCTTGGCAATAATTAACTTATCTATAGCTTGCCCTTATATCACTTCATCTGTTACCCTTATATTGCTTCGTTTATTATCCGTATCTTCGACCTTATATTACCTCAAATGTAGCCCATGTCTTTGCTCCTTTTATTTCATCTATTGCCAGTGTCTTTTACCCTTCATCTGTTCTGTGTCCTTGGCCTTATATTGCTTTATCTATTGCCCATGTCTTTGGCCTTGTATCACTGTATCCCTTCAACTCATCCAAAGATAATGAGAGAGGTAATCAGGCGACGAGTCACAATAACGTGGGTGAAGTATGTTGACCAATCCACACACTAGAAAATGAAGGGACGACGACGTTTCGGCCCGTCCTGGACCATTCTCAAGTCACAATCAACTTGAGAATGGTCCAGGACGGACCGAAACGTCGTCGTCCCTTCATTTTCTAGTGTGTGGATTGGCCAACAGAGATAATTAGTCCACCACAGCACGAGTGATCTCAATCTGTAACCAGAGATGTCATGCAGCATCCTGGGTGATTATTTGTTGTTTAATTACGTGTGCTGGGGGAGAAGGATCTGGGTCACGGTCTGGAGGCTGGTCAGGCGCGATGCTGACCTAGAATTACGGTATCCTGGGAGGCGCAGACGAAGGAGTGACTGCCTTGGAAAGCTGCTCGCTGGGATAATTTTAGGGTTTGGAATTCTGGGTTTCTTAGAATTCATATATTTTACGGTTAAAAAATAACATTGTATCTCACTGCTTAAGTAATTTGAGATGCTCGATGCTGGATAACAATTCTAGCAAATATTTAATGGGAAATCTAGGAGCGTGGGTTGAATATTTCTGATATTATAACTATCACTGCTGTCGTATTTACAGTAACAAGCACAGACCAGCATTCACTTGTGTTAAGTTCAGTGTAGGTTACACATGCTAAGTTAGGATGAGTATGACACTCTAGTAATAGAAGTACTATGCCTACTGTGCTTAGAAGTGCTTACATAGTGCTATGCCGATGGCTAGAAGTGCCTACTATGTTTTTCATGCTCTATCACAGGATGTGTGTGTGTGGATTTTGTATAACTTTAAATGCCTGTGGTGTTATGCATGGTGTTACCTCTGAAGGTGTTTGGAATGTGTTCTTGCAGCTTGTGTATCTTGTTGTCTCCAAGCGTATATGTATATTGCTGACTCCAAGGTTACATATATTTTATCTCCCAGGTTTATACAGTTATTTCAACCAATATGTGATTACCCTCCAATGGTGTGTATATTATTTTCTTCCCTCATGATGGTTATATTGTTGTATTCCAGGAGATGTATAGTGCAGTCCGAGTCACAAGAGTAGTGTATACTGTTGCTGGTTGTGGTGTGTGTGGTGTAGTCTCTCAGCTGTATTGTCCGTCCAAGCATGTATCGCGTGTTGATTGCAATGAATGTAAGAATGATACTGCCTCGCAAAACAGGCGTATTGGATGAATTCTTCATTCTACGTTTATGTCTCAATTTTGTTTAATGTCTCTCTGGGCATATGATTTCTGGGCTTATATAGCATACAAGCACACACACACACACACACACACACACACACACACACACACACACACACACACACACACACACACACACACACAGGAAAGAAACAAGAGAAGCAACATTTCAAGGGTTGTAAAGGAGGAGGAGGAAAAAAGATAGTGGAAGGAGGAGAAACTAAAGAACGAAAGGCTAGACATAGAAAATCGAGTGAACAAGCAGAGGGATGACTACAAAAAAATTGTAGGAAGTTGAAAGACGACTTCAAGTAATATGCAGATGTAATAAGGGAGAAGATTAAGGAGAGTGCTTCTCATTCTCGGGGCAGAAGCCTGGTAAGGTTGACAAAATCTTTCTTGACAGGCTATTGTCTCATCTTTCCAAGCTCCTAAAATGATAGTACTTATAATAAAAAAAATTTCAAGGGTAAAAACATTAGGCTCTTGGTCCGTAAAAATGTTTTTGAGTTATTGAATGTCTAAATGACATACTGAAAGCGTTGAAAATTAACTAATGAACCTAACCTTATCTATGTAAACATTCGAACGCCTAATATACACTATGTTAGGTCTAATATAATACATATTTGTGCTATGTTAAGCATGTGAATATTTAAGCTTGCTTTTATGCTCACTTTTTCGTGCACTCTACAAAATTAATAGTACAAAACCTGAACAGTGTTGGTTGCCACCGTCCACTTTTGTACGTTTGATCAAATAGTGTGCTATAAGTATTATCATTTCAGAAGGATGGGTTGGATCTTTCCCTGGATGCCTCCCACAACAGTTGCATTACTCCTGGATACCTATGTACTGCTAGGTGAACAGATGTTTAAGGTAGCGTACACAAAAAGTCTCTGTACAGTGGGGAAATCGATCCTGGGACCTTCCGGTTGTAAAACCATTGTATAGACCACTGCGCTACAGGACCAATAGCGGCAATTACTACAGAGCCACAGGACTCGTCAAGCATTTACGTAGCCACTTACGAAACCTCTATATCTTTCAACAATCACAGCGGCTGTGCTTACATTCATTAAACTGTTTACGGGCTTCGAAACTTCAGAACCCAAGACTGTTATTGTTATAAACAACCTCGCAGCGCTTCGGAGCTCACAAACTGTTCAATAAACGTAAACATAGCCGCCATTACCGAGGAAAGATGTACAGGTTTCGTATGTGGATTCATAAATGTTGCTGAATCCTGCCCCAGAAACTCAGAATGAGGGAGACTTAAACAGATGATAAACAGTGTCACGCGGAAACGCAGAATGAGAAGGTGCAAACAGAAGGAACAGAGAATATGAGAGAATTTGTCGAGCAAACCAGAGGAACGTAAATATGAGAGCAAAAATGAGTGAAGTTGAGATTATAAATTGAAAAACTCAAACCAAAAAGGCCGAGAGTAACGATGGACATTGTCAAGAAAGCCACTAAACAGCTCCATTTCCTCTATTTTACCTCTAGTAAGTCTAGTAGGTTGTTTGTTGGTTTAGAGTCAATAACTCGAAACAAAAAAAGTTCCAAGTAGCACGGGCTATGGTGAGCCCGTAGTGGACTTACCTGGCACAGGAGCAGGGCTGTGTACCTCTAGTAGGTTTCGAGAGTTCTTTTACTCCACGTTAGGACGGGTGTCAGGCTTGTCTGTTGATAGCTTGATTGCCACGCTGCTTGCTTCACAGGCTCAGTGCTTCACATACTCAGTGCTTTACGGCTGATCTTGAACTTTCTGCCGAAACTTGTCCCATTTCCTATTGGAAATCTGCGCATTTATTATCGCAACAGACTCTGAATTAAACTATTTAGATAGTATTTCTAACACTAAACACCTTAATGACCAAACTGCATATATCATACAGCAAACCTTAATTACAGTGCACTCGCAAATCACCAAAAGATTAAGTGATTAACCAAAATATGACCACCTAACAAAAATATGATGATATTAAGTACTTTGCCATAAGACCTCAACTTATAAATTATCTTCTGAAATCCTAACAGAAACATGCCTGAAAGATAATTATGCCAAACTGTTTAGCATAATTACAGAGGAATTCAAATCTGTAAACCAAACCAGAATGGCTGGGCACCTGCAATATACAATGATCAGGAGTTTACATGCATCAACGATGCAAGAACTAGTCACATTTGCAGAGAATATATTTCCCCAGTTTACAATCATGCGGGTGTATGCTAACATAATAGTTGGAGGTGCATTCAGAATCCCTGATAGAGACTGGCAGGTTTTCATCGGCAATTAGCGAATCGTACTGCGAGAGATTGGCAGCCCATCCTGACCTTAGTCAATGGCTTTGGTAGTCGCTGCGATGATGTTGGGTCCACTCCGAATGCTAATGTTAGGAAGATCAAGGGACATGACCACAACTCTTGAGATGGCATCTTGTGCTTTGTATTAAAGGGTCCGGATTTCTACGTTGAAGTAGGAAGTAGTTCTATAAGTCAAAAGATGCTATAGAGAAGTAGCTGCTGGTCACTGAGGCAGATACAGTAATTTGGGTCATGTTTCTGAGTAATATCAGTGCTCTGCTGTGTTCTCTTGGTTATAGTGATGCTCACACCGTCTTCCTCTCTTCTCGAT